TCATGTACGGCCGCCGACGGTAGCCGAAGATTGGGACTGTGTCGGTCAGCATGCCCGTGAACAGACGAAGTGCGCGTGGGATGGTCACCAATGCAGTCGCCGTCGCCACTAGAGTCGTGCTCAAATGTAAGTAATTATTTAACACCGAGTACAGGACTCCGCTGACGGTTCCGTAGACGATGCCGACAGCAGCGATATGCGTGAGCATACCGAGGTTCTCCCAGCTGTAGGCGGACACGGAGCCGTTCGCTGGGCGAAGACTGCCATCCTCCAGCTGGACCGGATCGACCGGAGACTTGACCTCTGCGTAGCTCGTCGGGTGCGACAGCGTATCGTCGAGTTTGAGCCGGGGAAGACTTTCGATGGAGACGCGGTCTGTCAGGTGAAGGTGAGACTGCGCCATGGCGGCTCGGGAGGAAATTGAGAAGTACTGTCATGGCGACTGGAAAGATCTGCTCGACAGCGCTGTGAACGAACTGAGCGGTGCGCCTTGGCAATAATTGAGGCGGGCGTTCAGTGTGTCAGCACTCTCACCATCCAAGGTGATCCCTTTGGGCCAAGCACGTGCAGTAACCGAGTTGGCTTTCGTCATGCTGCAAGTTGATCGAGCGCCCAATCAAGTGCAGTCAATTGTGGTGGTCATGTATTGCGAATTTCATCGTGCACAAATTGAACTGAGGTCTGCGTCCGCCAACTTTAAGGTTGGCTGTGCGCGATGTTTATCTCATCAAGGAGAAGACTACAGTACACGAGTTTTTGGTTGCCATTTCTGGTGCAGCAGATAGCACGCCGGTAATTCAGTGCATCTAAGTCGCAGTGTCTGAGATAGCATTTGTTGTCGAAGTGAGCTAGCTCTGTTGAGTCACCATTCGACGCTTTTTACAAACTCTGGGCAACGAAAAAATATGGATACACGTAGGTGGTCCTCAAACCTGTTGTGTTGCTGGTACTCGTATCCGAGCTAGCATCCGCTACCCCCGGCAATGCGCAGGCAGCTCGTAGACTCAAAGAGGCTCAAGATGTTGGTCATGAGCGTCCAGGCCAGCGAGAACAGGAGGTAGCAGATCGTCACGACGCCCCAGAACTTGCTCTTGCGGTCCTCGCGCTGCATCCTGTGCACCTCCTCCTTCTGCTTGGGCAGCAAGAATACAAACACCACCGACGCCAGATTGAACACGTACGCGATGATGTACGTGTACGTGACCTGAGATCGCACGTAGTGGTTGTCTTGCTCGATGAACGTGCGGCCGATGTCGAAGTACCCGTCGATTGACTTGGTGATCACCGTCGCGAAGGGGGTTCCGACGGATTGCGTCGTGACTCCGAGGCCGAGAAGCGTAGCCTCGAATCCCTGTTGGTTCTCCATCTCAATCATGAAAAGTTGCGTCACGTAGTCGCCCGCTGCGGCAGGGACCTCAGCCACCAGAGGCACTCCAAGCCAGAACCACTGACTGCGGTAGACGTCCCAGCGTCGGAAAGGCGTCGATAAACACGACGCTGATCTGGCAGACCATGATGATGTAGCGCCAGTTCCAGTGGAGACCTTGCTTCTTGATCACGTACACGCCTCCCATGGTTAAGATCGCCGTGAGCATACTGGCGATGCCCGAGTTGAGCGGCTCGACCTTGGCCCAGTCGCTCTGGATGACACTGGACGCCGTCACTGTGATCTGCGAGAAAACGTTATAGAAGAACCGGTAGGCGGCGTAGCGGTAGATCACGCGCTCCTGGAATATGTTGTAGAGGAACTTGAACCCCGACATTTGCGCGCGCTCGCCCTTCACTTCTTGGATGCAGTACCAAGAGAACGGGACGGTCAGAAGCGAGGCTGCAGCACAGACCCACATGATGGCGTTGAAGCCCATGGTCCACGAGAAGGTGCCGCCGTAGTCTTCACTGTTGAGACCGATGCCAGTCATGAAGGAAGAGAAGATCGTGAACACGTAGTGGACGATGTTGACATCTGCAATCACACTGCCACGCGTAGCTTCCGGCTCACGTTGCGAGACGTCCATCAGGGCTCCGTTGAAGCCGCTGTACGCCATCACCGTGCCGAAGTTCGCGATCATCATCAAAATGATGAGCTTGATGCCGCGGTTTGGAGCGTCCGTGTTGAGCGTCGCGAGCTGCTCCGGTGTCATGTCAACCGTGGCGATGTCGGACAGCGATGGATCGGTATAATACGGCTCCCCCAGTGGCAGCGCGGCCATGAGCAGGCACGAGATGAACGACAATGACCAGCCGATGATCATGTACGGCCGCCGACGGTAGCCGAAGATTGGGACTGTGTCGGTCAGCATGCCCGTGAACAGACGAAGTGCGCGTGGGAAGGTCACCAATGCAGTCGCCGTCGCCACTAGAGTCGTGCTCAAATGTAAGTAATTATTTAACACCGAGTACAGGACTCCGCTGACGGTTCCGTAGACGATGCCGACAGCAGCGATATGCGTGAGCATACCGAGATTCTCCCAGCTGTAGGCGGACACGGAGCCGTTCGCTGGGCGAAGACTGCCATCCTCCAGCTGGACCGGATCGACCGGAGACTTGAGCTCGGCATAACTTGGATGAGAGATGGCGTCGTGGGCTCTGGGCTTCGAAAGGCTCTCGACAGAGACGCGGTCGGTCTGGTAAGACTGCGCCATGGCGACTCCGCGAGAATTGAAAAGTGAACAGCTCCGTGGCGACTGGAGAGATCGGCAGCGGCAGCAGCTGTGAGGTCCTCAGGGAGCATCGCGGACGAAGGGATCAGCTTCCTGTTCTTTAATAGTAGGCAAAGGACACACTCATCAGCTATGGCTTCCTCGCAAATCTTGAGGCGCTCGGTTATCGGTTAGTACATCACGCAGAAATTAACGCCTGCAGCGGGCGCATATGCTTCCTTCACGCGTGACTTGCCAATCCATTGCGAGCAGGGCGAGGTGTCACGGCTAGTAAGTACTGTAGTACATGTACCGCCAACAGAGACCGTGGTCACTGATACACGATTCGATGACACTACGTGAATACGTATTGTGAATTCTGGCCAATACTGTATTGCCGATTCGGGTCGGTTTACCATAGGTTGAAATCGCTGAATACAAATTTCATGCCTTTTGGAATCGACTCAGCGACTTCTTATTTCGTACTTTATTGCGTCCATCCTAAGAATCACTCAGAAAGACGCGCTGTCCGTCACAAAATCGTCACGCTTATTCACTAAGTACGATTCCCACTAAGTACGATTCCCACTAAGTACGAGTAGCTGCCGAGCGCAGCGAAGGCGACCCCACGATATAGCAGGACCCGCCCCGGCCTCTGTAGTACTAATCTAACATTGAGAGTAGTGCAGCGAGCCGACGAGGCGAGCGGAACGGGTCCGCCACTGCCGTAGCGAAGCTTAGGCAGTCTGCTCCAATAGCGCAGCGAGCATTGCGAGCGAAGCGCCAACTAACAAAAAATTCACCGCCGCGTAGCGGCGGCGCTCGGCTAGTAGTAAACTCAATTCAAATCAAAATCTCGGTGGTTTGGCTGGATCGATTCAATCAATCGACTTCGGAAACTTCCGCATTACACCATGTCTAGACCAAATTGAGAATTGCCAGCCCGAACCCGTTACTTCTAAATTGATACAGATTTCGCTCACTTCTGACACCGTGATCAACTGATATCCTCTAGGTCAATTCTAATACTATTTTATACAGTGCCGTTTTCGCGCTTTGGCGTTTGAAGACCACGAGAACGCAGGAAGTCGAGTGCACTACGAGTGAGCGAGCGGCGGCATTTTCGAGGTGCACGATGGGGATGGATGACCGAATGAGCCTGACTGCGTTCGAACAGTGCCTGAGGGTAAAGTTTGTGTGACGGGGTTACATGGAATAGTGACACTGTCACTATTCAGGGATGGCTACATCGGTCACTCCCCTGGATAGTGACTCAAGTGGCCTCAGAGCCAATAGATACATTTTGTATGACACAAAGTATAGGGAACTTAAGATTTGTATGCAGGCCAAATCTGTACCAACCTATAAATACATTCAGTCTTAGATCTACCGCTTTTCAAGTCAAGTCGTCCCCTTCAGACCAGGAACACGTGAACGGCTGTTCACTTGGATTTTGTATACTACTGCTTCCTCTGTTAAGAAGTACTGTGTGCCCCGTCACAGTTTGTCAGGAGTGGTGGTATAAATTGAAGTGCGACAGCTTTGAATCCCTCAGAGTGTGGTTCCACAACCAATTCATCTGTCAGACTCGCGCAAAACTATGGAACCCACTTAACACCTTGTCTCCGAACGGTACTCGCCTCAGTCGCGTAAGCACATGTCGTAAGTTACGACTTACAGAATCAATAAATATTTGTATGGGCCATGTGTTTCACGTCGGGATAGGTGTATAAATTGTGAGCAGGTTTCCACGCCGATGTCGTAAGTGATACCCACTAACTGAAACGCAATATGCACGCTCACTCATCATTGTCAGCCTCACCGCCATCGCTTACTTCCTCGCGGGGAAGCTGCAGTTCGCGTCGTGCCTTCTTGCGCTTTCCTGCGTTCTTGCCGGGCCGACGCAGCACGACGCGCTTCCCCAGGTTGGACGGAATGTTCTTCCCGGCGCCGAAGTCGTCGTGCCAGATCTCAAAACACGGCTTGGCAACGCCGTTGTACTCGCGACGGATCTTGTTACACAACCAGCACTTAGCGTCGTCGACGGAACAGCGCTCGCAAAAGTAAGTCGTCGCAAAGGACTTCTTCTTCTCTGTGCGCAAGAGCGCACATACCTTGCACGACCTTTGGCGGCGCTTCCGGACGTCGCTGACGGTGACCCAGTCTTCGGAGTGCTGTAGTGCGTGCGCTAGGCGGACAGGTGTACGCCTACGATTCAGGCGGGACGGAGGTGGCGTAGCTTCGACCCCAGCAAAGTCCTCGGGCTTCAGTTGCAGGAGCTGGTTCTGGATGACTGCAAACCACTCCGAGCGTTTCATGGGGACTGCTCCCATGGTCTTGGCTGCCTCTTTGTGACTCAGGTACGCGTTTACCAACGCCAGGTCCAGGAATCCCAAAAACAAGCCTTTGTAGTACTTGGTGAATCGCGTGGACAATTGAAGGGAGAAACTCTGTAGACGAAGTTTGTGGTGTAGTACCCCGCGGAAGAAGTGGGCGCGCCGGGCGCCGGAGGAAGAAGGCGTCGGGACGCGAGTGATGGTTCGACGCGGCTGATGGAACGCGACGCGGATTGATGGGCGCGACGCAGGGCCGAGCTCGACGGGAAAGTCGGCGTGGGTGATGGGCCGTGAGACACGGTGCCAGAATCCAGTGCGACGCGTAATCATCCGACGGGTCGACCAGCGCATCCGGTTCTGCAAAACGCGCCGACCCTAAACCCCGCCGAGCAAAACGCGCCGAGCAAGACGCGCCGAGCAAAACGCGCCGACCCTAACCCCCGCCGACCAAAACGCGCCGAGGTAAGATCTTGATTGCGCCACGCAAATCAGCTTGAAGGACGGCAGTGCAAGCACGACAGAAGTAGGGATAGGCACAGAACGATAGGCTTAGCAAGCAGTAGTACGGAGTAGCCAGTAGCTAGGGCATAGGATAGGGTTAGGACCCAGTCCCGAAATTTCTCTGAACCACAAAGACCTCCGGATCTCCTCGGTTCCAGGGGAACCACCAAGCGTCGGCAAGCAGAGCCGCCTCGATATCGCGGCTCCCCGTCGCCTGCTGGTTCGGGTGCTCACCCCCTCAACCCCGTGCTGGAACAAAGGCACGTTAAACGTATACCGTTTAGGTGGGCGCCCGATAACGCGCTGCCTGGGCGAAGGACCGCGCTCGCCTAATAACCCGTGTAGGCCCGATAACGCCACACAAGCCCCAGGAAACGCCGGCCTGATAACGCCGCACGCCCAAGGCTCAACGCCCTACGACAAGGGACAAGCGTCAACACAAGAACCCCCCAACTCTGAAGCCTGCGAAGACTTGGGCCTGTATTTTGAAGATACGCTACTCCAACAACCGGGAATAATTTGATCGGCGCGACCGCTATCCGGACGCGCCGAGTTTGTGCGAGATCGCATTCGCGAGATTTCTGCGAGGCCGCTACTCCACAATGGTGCCGCGACCCGGGAGTACTACTTTGAATGACGGGCTAACGATCCAAGAGGCATCGGAGGCAGGTGCGCAGTCGGCTGGAAGGTCGCCGACTGCAACAGAGCACAGTGAGAGACCTGTCGCGTCGTGGAGCTCTGAAGGAACCTTCACGACAGGCCACGGGGCCAGCGACGACCAGGAGGGCTACGAAGAACAGTTTGCCGTTCCCGATGCGGCTCCCGACGAGGGAGCCGCGAAGGGCCGCGACGCTAGTCGCGGTCCTACCAGTCGGAAGCCTGCAAAGGCCGACGACCAACAACAACCCACCGCCAAGGCAGCCATGAAGCGCAAGTGGCCCAAGAGGAGGAAGAAGAAGCTGCGCGCGCCGGACTCGGCGGAGGAGTCGCTGTCCAAGCCGCAAGGCAAGGACACGGGACGTCAGTACACCGTCGAGGAGGTACGGTGCGCACGGAGCTCTTCCGTCTGCTAGAACAAGACCCAATCTTGGTCTTCCTCAAGCCCATGCTGATGAGCAACTTCACAGGCCCCTTCGTGGTGCCGGACTTCGATAGTCTCACCAGCGTCGCCCACGCCGCGCCGACTCTCTTCCAGATGCTGCGTGACTCGGGGTTCGTGCTGGGGGCTTTCGAGATGGAGAGGCTGTGTGATTGGGACCTCAAATCTTGGTTACGTGCGATTCGCGTCGTGCAGCAGCCCTTGACGATTCTCGCCGGATCCGTCAAACAAGACGCGACGAGTTCCGCGACGGGCCAAGACGCGCCGAGTCCCTCGGCGGGCCCAGCCCAGACTTCGACGCCCACGCCCTCGCCTCCACCTCGATACCAATCGAGCGTGGACTCCGACAGCAGTTTCGAGTCGCCCAAGCGCATGCCCATGAACCGGCCGCCGCGCGCCATGCAGCTATCCGCGGCGCCCACACGCACAGAGGTGACGAAACCCGCCGAGGAGGTGCTTCCCAAGGCCTTGAGAGAATCTATCATCAAGCTGATGCAGACGACAGTGATGAACACCCCGCGCGCCGACACGGCCGCAATTCCGATGGGGCCGAAGCCGCCCGCGAATCCCACACCCACGGTGGCTCGCCCCCAGGAGGCAGCGGATGTCGCCATGGAGTCGGTCAGTTCGCGTTCTTCGACGAGGTCCATAACTCGACGCGACGCGGACGAGGCCCCCGATGACCTGTTCGACTTGGACATCGGAGTGCCAAGAACCGCGGCCACCGTCTCGACGGCGACAGCCGGCGGCGTAGCCCTCGCCCGCGTACGCCTCTCAGCATCTTCCGAGCTGAAAGAGTTCTCGGGACGGGACGCCAGCGAAGAGAAAGCCAGACTGTGGCTCAACCATCGGAAGTCCGCCGCGCGGTGCGACGGGATGACGGGCGAAAAAGTGTGCGGGCAGTTCAGCGATCTAATGAGCGGCCCTGCGCGCCAATGGTATCTCCAGTTGCCCAGGAAGGTCAAGAAATCATGGACCGAGCTGATGGAGCAATTCCGGGTGCAGTACTGCGGCAAGGGCGTGTCAATGGCCAGTCGCTACTACCACGCGGCTCAGCGCCCCGACGAGACCCCTCTGGATTACTTGTACCGGCTCAACGTCGCGGGCTTGAGGGCCAACATCCCATACGCCGAGGGCACGACTGAAGAGAAGCGCGAAAACGTCAAGCATTTCATCCGGACGCTGAACACGCAGGAGGCCGAACTCACCTCACGTCTCACGCTGATGGAGGTCGCCGACTCCGAGGCGCTGGAGAAGAAACTGCGTGCCTGACAACGTACCAGAAAAAGACTCTCTTCGGCTCGAACAAGTTCCGCCAAAAGGCGCCGACCCTGCCGACTCAGCCGGCGCGCGCCAAGTTGTTCGTCGCGGGACAGGCCCCGCCGGGAGAGCCGGCGCGTCGCAACTTCGATCCCGACGACTCGGGACGCGACCGCCTGCGGTGCCGCCACTGTGGTTCACGTCGCCATGTATAAGGAGACTGCTGGAAGTTGTTGACGTGTCAGAAGTGTGGTGGCCAGCACCCGACGGAGCGATGCTTGAGGGTGTGCAAGGCCTGCGGTGACGTGCACGAAGCCGGAGAATGCCCGATGGAGGCGTTCTTCAACCAATTGCGCCAGTGGTTTGACCCGAATAAACACGCGGGAATGCTGCCGCCGGCCGCTGAGAAGATGTTAAACTAGGACGCTCGCTGGCTTGGAAACCAGTACGAGACGAGCGACCTGTTTCCGTCTATGCATATGTGACTAAGAAGTCGCGAGAGGTGGTTAGTGAGAGCCCGACTTCCCTGAATGATAATACATGTGAATCCAACCCGGAACGTACCACGCAAGACGCGCGCCGCGAATCTCGGCGGTCCGACGTACGACGGACGACGAGTTTGCACGTGAACCACCCCTGGACGAGATCGACTTGCAACCAGGAGAGCGACGCGGATACTGGACACATTACGCGCCGCACAAGTGGTACAAGCAGGCCAAGATTCATGGAAAGCTGAACAACCGCCGTGCTGTGTTATTGCTCGACACAGGTGCCGAGGTGTCCATCCTGGACACCACCTTTGCTCGTGAGGTAGGCTGCCTGATTGACACGGAGATCACGCAAGAGTGTGTGGGAATTCGTGATGAGACATATTACACGGTGGGGAGAACCAGAGTCAAGATTACCTTGGCTGGGAACTTGGTGTACTACATGCACCTGTGGGTCGGCGACTTGGTCGGCCAACACGCAATCCTGGGAATGAACTTCATGGTGCCCGCTGGAGTGCGCATCGACACTGCGGATGGCACGGCGTGCCTCCCCGACGAGGTGCATATCCAGATGATCGGACGAAGACCGCTATACGGCACACGGATGCACCCGGTCAACGTCAAGACGCCTGTGAGGCTCGAACCAGGAGACACGCATGAAGTCTTGCTGAGGCCGGATCGAAACGCGCCGTTCCTGTGGGTGACACGGGCAGAGTCGTGGGTGACTACCTTTGTCAAGGGGAGAGTCGGAAAGAAAACGTACCTGCGTGTCACGAACATCGGAGACGCAGCGATAACCCTCGACGCGCATGAAACGCTTGGGTGGTGGACGCCGTCTGACTGCCAGCCTCGGAACCGTGGATTCGTCCGACTGGGCACCACCCGGTACCAGCAGTGGCAGAATCTGGCGCACGGCGCGACGAGGAGGAGAACTGGATCCCAGCCGAGCTCGACGGACCGATGACGGATCGCCCCTCATACCCGACGCCTAAAGCCATCTTGCGCCCGGAGCCGAGACAAGTCGTGACGTGACGCGCCGTGACCCCAGTGTTGGCGGCTGTCGCGGAAGCGCCGAAGGGAAGGGGGGTAGACTTGCCACCCGACGACCACAAGCCGGATACGGACGAGGAGGCGGTGGAAAGCGAACCCGATATGCCTCCGACTGTGGCTGGAAGCGCTGCGATGGAAGAATCGCCGGAGTCGGAACTCGCCGAGCCAAAACTCGACGGACCAAACCCCGCCGAGCCGAATTTCGACGAGGCGAAACCTGATGAGCAGGAGGAAGACGACGCGGTCCTCATCCACGAGGGGTCCGACCTCTTCGTAGAGGATCTCGAGTCTGAGATGGCAGTGCTGCCAGACCTCTCGCTGACCGCCGAGGTGAAGATCGAGGACTTGAAGGTCGGTATGCCAACTGGACACCCGCCCGAGGAAGCCGCGAGACAAGAAACGCGGCTACGCCAAATCATCTGGAAGCGACGGAAGTGGTTGATCGGCAAAGGCAACGCCTTGTCGCCGGCCGCCCTGGGTGTTGTCTGCGACATCGACGCGGGCGACGCAAAACCCGTCGCGCAACGCGTCCGGAAAATCCCGCCGCAGTTTCGAGAGAAGGTCGCCGACTTGATCAAAGGGCTGCTGAGCGCGAGGATGATCCAAAAGAAGTCGAAGTCGCCGTGGGCGTCGCCCATTGTCGTGATCATAAAGAAGAACGGCGTCGATATCCGGCTTTGCATTGACTACAGGCTCATCAACGGGCTGACACAGTTGATGATTTACCCCATGCCGCTCGTCAGCGACTTGCTCGAAGACTTGGACAAGTATCTGTGGTACTGCTCCTTTGACATGGCGAGCGGCTTCTGGGTCGTCCCCATGACAGACCGGGCCCGGCTCACCTCAGCCTTCATCACGCCGATGGGACTGTACGAATGGCTGCGTATGCCGTTCGGCCTGTGCAACGCGCCACAGATTTACCAACGCTTGATCGACAACGCGCTCTACGGGTTCATGAAGCTGTCCCCGGATGGCAGTACTCGGGACGTTTTTGAAGACGGCGAACCGGTGAAGCCAGGTATTCACTCCGTTCTGGGACGGAGGTCGTACATCGACGACATCCTCATCGGGGGCACGTCGTGGGACGACCTGTGCGAGAAGGTCGAACGCTTGCTGGGTGTCTGCGAGCAGTGGCACTTGTCCATCAGTGTCGAGAAGAGCGAGTGGGGCATGTCCAAGGTCGACTTGAGCTTCGTCCAAAAGGGTTGGAGATGACGGGGCCCAGGGGCACGCCCTCACCACGAGGTGGCGAATACCGTGGCTCAGTGAGCGCACGCAGCTCGTAGAGGCCGGAAGAGCGTTCAGGGAACGGAGTTCGCAGCGGTGGCCGCGTCTCCTCCCTCGATGGCGCAGTGCGCTCAGTGGCGAGACGGCTCGGGGAGCGCACAGGGGACGTGTGCGCGGGGCGCTCTTGATCGCGACGGCTCGGAGAGCCAACTGGGGCCGGCGAGCCTTCTTCACGGCGTGTCGATGGTGTGGGCGAAGCGTCGCGTGAGTGGAGACGCATCTCCTCGGTTCGGAGAACCCTCCATGGACTCGTCTACCTCACCCTCTTCACCAAAGAGTTCCCTAGGATCCATGATCTGGCGGGTTGGTGTTCGAGGAGAGCTGGGGCTTGTGCGCTGCGAGCTGCGCTTCAGGCGTTGCAAGTACTCGGACGCCGAGCCTGGAAGGCGTCGAGGGTGTGCGCGCGGGCGCTGGCGTTCGCGGAGGTGCGGAGGCACGCAGTGCAGCAGCACGAGAGGAGCGAGGCTCCGAGGCGGATCTCGCGAGAGGCTGTCTGCGGTCGAAAGACCAAAAGGCTTTATGACTTGAAGTCATGTGAGGGCGCGTTGCCCGAGAAGTTCTCAGAGAAGTCCACGCGATGTGGATTGACTCGTTCGAGAAGGAGGCTTGACGGAACAAGAGCCGGAGGTTGACCGTTAAGCGTGAACACCCGTGTCCACGGTTTGGTGGGGGAGGGTGTAACGGGGTTACACGGGAGTTACCCGAAGGGTTACGAAGTGGGTATACACTGTCTAACCTAAATCAGTAGGAGAATCAGTACACGGCTTCAGAGCCACTGATTATGCATATGACTAGGGTTCAATATGCTAGATAGTGAACCGGATACATTTACACCGTAGGCGGCTTGGCCGCGATAAAGGGAAATACATTCAGTTTGAATTTCACAAAGTTAAGAGCTAAGGGTTGACTCTTGGAGTCCGTAAGGTATACGGACTCGTACGTTCTGGTATTAGAACGGACTATCTTAAGCTGAGACTCTGTGAGTCTGTTAAGCTTCCTCTGACGCAAAGCTACGGCAGCCCCGCTGCAGGGTCCGTGGGAAGGAGATAGCGAGCGCCGGAGCAGTACGTGGTAGCTCGTGATACAGCGGAGAGCGCGTTGAACGGGTAGAACAGGGTGTGGGCAGTCGTGTGTTGCGTGGTGCAAAAGAAGCTCTCCCAGCTGGGTTTGAACCAGCGACCTTGAGGTTAACAGCCGCACGCTCTACCAACTGAGCTATAGGAGAAGCACGACATACTACCCTCCAACACCCGCTGCGAAAATTGATTTCCTGAAACACACAAACAAAATCAACGCAAACCAACCCGCACACTCATCACACACATCCTGGCGCACCCGACCAGCCACACGCACACGCTTCACCGACCACACAAGCCTCAACAACCTCCACGGACGCCAAAACATCACCTTCTTGCCACGCCTTCTACGCGTCTTTCTGGGCCTCCATGCGTCACCTCGCACGCTTGCCGTGACTCGGGGTGCTGTCCTTGCCTACAAAGTCGGTATCGACGCCTCCACATGCCGAAAAACGTCTCAACATGTTGACCCAACCGCGACCCCCACTTCGAGGCCGGCCGTGACCAAGTCGAGCCAAGCGCAGGGTTTCGGTCCGATACGAAAAAGCGCGTCGATTCTGGCTTGAGGGCTACATGATTGGCGAGCCGATGCCTCTAATCAAAAGCAACACGACTCAAAAGCAGCACGACCCGTGGTGGTCAGCACGAGGCGGCGGAGACCGTGGCTGGCAGGCCGATGGAATTTCATGGCGAGGTATGCTCCAAATGTACAGGTAGGGTCCGTGGGAAGGAGATAGCGAGCGCCGGAGCAGTACGTGGTAGCTCGTGATACAGCGGAGAGCGCGTTGAACGGGTAGAACAGGGTGTGGGCAGTCGTGTGTTGCGTGGTGCAAAAGAAGCTCTCCCAGCTGGGTTTGAACCAGCGACCTTGAGGTTAACAGCCGCACGCTCTACCAACTGAGCTATAGGAGAAGCACGACATACTACCCTCCAACACCCGCTGCGAAAATTGATTTCCTGAAACACACAAACAAAATCAACGCAAACCAACCCGCACACTCATCACACACATCCTGGCGCACCCGACCAGCCACACGCACACGCTTCACCGACCACACAAGCCTCAACAACCTCCACGGACGCCAAAACATCACCTTCTTGCCACGCCTTCTACGCGTCTTTCTGGGCCTCCATGCGTCACCTCGCACGCTTGCCGTGACTCGGGGTGCTGTCCTTGCCTACAAAGTCGGTATCGACGCCTCCACATGCCGAAAAACGTCTCAACATGTTGACCCAACCGCGACCCCCACTTCGAGGCCGGCCGTGACCAAGTCGAGCCAAGCGCAGGGTTTCGGTCCGATACGAAAAAGCGCGTCGATTCTGGCTTGAGGGCTACATGATTGGCGAGCCGATGCCTCTAATCAAAAGCAACACGACTCAAAAGCAGCACGAGGCGGCGGAGACCGTGGCTGGCAGGCCGATGGAATTTCATGGCGAGGTATGCTCCAAATGTACAGGTAGGGTCCGTGGGAAGGAGATAGCGAGCGCCGGAGCAGTACGTGGTAGCTCGTGATACAGCGGAGAGCGCGTTGAACGGGTAGAACAGGGTGTGGGCAGTCGTGTGTTGCGTGGTGCAAAAGAAGCTCTCCCAGCTGGGTTTGAACCAGCGACCTTGAGGTTAACAGCCGCACGCTCTACCAACTGAGCTATAGGAGAAGCACGACATACTACCCTCCAACACCCGCTGCGAAAATTGATTTCCTGAAACACACAAACAAAATCAACGCAAACCAACCCGCACACTCATCACACACATCCTGGCGCACCCGACCAGCCACACGCACACGCTTCACCGACCACACAAGCCTCAACAACCTCCACGGACGCCAAAACATCACCTTCTTGCCACGCCTTCTACGCGTCTTTCTGGGCCTCCATGCGTCACCTCGCACGCTTGCCGTGACTCGGGGTGCTGTCCTTGCCTACAAAGTCGGTATCGACGCCTCCACATGCCGAAAAACGTCTCAACATGTTGACCCAACCGCGACCCCCACTTCGAGGCCGGCCGTGACCAAGTCGAGCCAAGCGCAGGGTTTCGGTCCGATACGAAAAAGCGCGTCGATTCTGGCTTGAGGGCTACATGATTGGCGAGCCGATGCCTCTAATCAAAAGCAACACGACTCAAAAGCAGCACGACCCGTGGTGGTCAGCACGAGGCGGCGGAGACCGTGGCTGGCAGGCCGATGGAATTTCATGGCGAGGTATGCTCCAAATGTACAGGTAGGGTCCGTGGGAAGGAGATAGCGAGCGCCGGAGCAGTACGTGGTAGCTCGTGATACAGCGGAGAGCGCGTTGAACGGGTAGAACAGGGTGTGGGCAGTCGTGTGTTGCGTGGTGCAAAAGAAGCTCTCCCAGCTGGGTTTGAACCAGCGACCTTGAGGTTAACAGCCGCACGCTCTACCAACTGAGCTATAGGAGAAGCACGACATACTACCCTCCAACACCCGCTGCGAAAATTGATTTCCTGAAACACACAAACAAAATCAACGCAAACCAACCCGCACACTCATCACACACATCCTGGCGCACCCGACCAGCCACACGCACACGCTTCACCGACCACACAAGCCTCAACAACCTCCACGGACGCCAAAACATCACCTTCTTGCCACGCCTTCTACGCGTCTTTCTGGGCCTCCATGCGTCACCTCGCACGCTTGCCGTGACTCGGGGTGCTGTCCTTGCCTACAAAGTCGGTATCGACGCCTCCACATGCCGAAAAACGTCTCAACATGTTGACCCAACCGCGACCCCCACTTCGAGGCCGGCCGTGACCAAGTCGAGCCAAGCGCAGGGTTTCGGTCCGATACGAAAAAGCGCGTCGATTCTGGCTTGAGGGCTACATGATTGGCGAGCCGATGCCTCTAATCAAAAGCAACACGACTCAAAAGCAGCACGACCCGTGGTGGTCAGCACGAGGCGGCGGAGACCGTGGCTGGCAGGCCGATGGAATTTCATGGCGAGGTATGCTCCAAATGTACAGGTAGGGTCCGTGGGAAGGAGATAGCGAGCGCCGGAGCAGTACGTGGTAGCTCGTGATACAGCGGAGAGCGCGTTGAACGGGTAGAACAGGGTGTGGGCAGTCGTGTGTTGCGTGGTGCAAAAGAAGCTCTCCCAGCTGGGTTTGAACCAGCGACCTTGAGGTTAACAGCCGCACGCTCTACCAACTGAGCTATAGGAGAAGCACGACATACTACCCTCCAACACCCGCTGCGAAAATTGATTTCCTGAAACACACAAACAAAATCAACGCAAACCAACCCGCCCACTCATCACATACATCCTGGCGCACCCGACCAGCCACACGCACACGCTTCACCGACCACACAAGCCTCAACAACCTCCACGGACGCCAAAACATCACCTTCTTGCCACGCCTTCTACGCGTCTTTCTGGGCCTCCATGCGTCACCTCGCACGCTTGCCGTGACTCGGGGTGCTGTCCTTGCCTACAAAGTCGGTATCGACGCCTCCACATGCCGAAAAACGTCTCAACATGTTGACCCAACCGCGACCCCCACTTCGAGGCCGGCCGTGACCAAGTCGAGCCAAGCGCAGGGTTTCGGTCCGATACGAAAAGCGAGTCGCGCCCGCCGTTCAGGTAGTCGCAGGATTGGTACGACATACAGTTTTGCGTGGGAAGCTTCGGGCAAAGTCTATCTCCTATGGCACACACAAGACCAGCTATGAAGCGGTATTCAACCACCTCGGCCTGACCTTCAACAAAAAAAATAAACTCATATCAACCGACGGCAAGATGTTGGACAGCTCGAAAGTGCAAATGTTGACATCTAACAGACCAGGCGACACGGAAGATGGGGAATGGACACCGTTGAGGCGGTTTACTCGGCTCCGTTGGCTTAAGAAGCCATTCGTGCTAACGAAGTCACGTTTGTATTATTTGGAGCGAGCTGTTGTCTATTCGCCTTCAGAGCTTCTACTTGACATTTTCCCAGGTCTTCGTAGATTTAAAGAGTAAAATATTAAACGGAGAATGGGAACGAAATCTGGCTGCTCGAGGGTTCATTGAGCTGCTGGAGTACTTACGTGTGGTGCTGGTCCAACATGCAGCTGTGATGTTTGAGTACCTTCCAACTAGAATACGCCAACATCAGCTTTTTGGTGCCCGTTTTCAGCAAAACTGCAGGCTACTTCTTACTGCAGTGCAAACCGCTCAACACCCCGTTGAAGCTCAACTTTAAGTCGCCCTCTGCGAGTTGAGCAAATTAGTACCCAGCACGCTGCTGTAATGGACATAGTAGAAGCGAAGCATCAGCATATGGTGCAGCTCCTACAACTGGTACAATGACAGCTTACCTCATTTCTTCATGGCGACGTTGCATTCCGACTGCAGCCGATTGCAACCAATAGCAGCGCACTGGATACCTTTGATCTGCATCTGATCAGTGCCTTCCTCCACTTGGACCTGCGCAAGGAGAAACTACTAAACCTGGAAAAGCGCTTTAGATGGGGTCTGCTTGCGCTTTGTGGTGCCCGCGATCCGGCCTTTTCGAGTCTGCATGATCCGAAACTAATGCTGCTACTACACTTACACGACAGACTGTTGCTGTCGACGTCCGGGTAGAGCAGATTCAACGACGGGCTGTTGCTGTCGACGTCCGGGTAGAACAGATTCAGCGACCTTCTCGTTCATTACCCCAAATACAACGGTGGTCAGGGTCACCTCGCAGTCGTGCTGGGTTGATGGGGCTGAACACGACCAGAAGACCGATAAACGAGATGAGCAGGCACCACGCCGGCTGACGTCACTTCTTCTTGTTCATGGGCTGCGGGTTCTTGCCTTGGAGGGTCTCGACCTCCTCCACTCACCCCACCCTGCAGGTTGCGCGCCATGTCCAGCTGCTTCGCGAGCGCAGCCAGGTATCGCGCCAGATCCATTACCGCCGAACCGTCGTTCACTGCCTAGGAATGCGGGGCGGTGCTGCCTTGTATTACGCGGTATGCCCCTAGCCAGCGACACGCTGCAGCGTTCAAGCCGTCGTTGCTGCTCACAGACGACACGGCTACTCAGTCGGCCATCTACTACTTGGCCGACGCTGTCCTTCGGTCAGGACCTTCTCTGCTGTAAAAGGCAAAATGCATCACCATAATTGAACAATGAGCGCATGGTAATCAGATCATGACCCAACTGCTGATATCTTCAGGTAACAGGCCAAAACACGGCTGTTATCTCCAGATACCAGGTCGTTGGGGAGAAAACCTTAATCGTGAACAGCGTTTTCGTAGAAATGAACTGACAACCTTATCGAGCAATCGAAGGGATATGCTGTGGATAGGCTCTCTGTACCATTTGGCCAACCCATATGGAATTGTGTTGATCAGAGCATATTCCTCACAAAAATAGAAACAGCTAGCTCAAAAGAAAAGTGCAAGCAAGCTCCTGAGAGCCCGGCATTCGCGGCGTGGCACACCTCCGTCGGTAGGTCCGCAGGATACCAGCGGCAGGAGACTCCCATCGAGCGCTCGAACACTTACCCCAGGACCTAGAGCACGGTGCACGCAGCGCATCCTTCGGCACGCGATAGCGCGTGGAAGAGGCGCTGCAATCTCCAACCGTCTACTCCGACCAAGCGCACACGACCGCCCTCGGTAGAGCAGGCGAAGACGCCCAAAGCTGTTCGTGATACCAGTAGTGCAGGAGCGCACAGCACGCGAGCTGCAGAACTAGTGTTGGAAGGGAGCGAGCTCAGAGTGCGCATAATTTTGCGCGGGATGCTCAGCGATGTTCCGCGTAGGTTTAGCTGCGCGGAACGGTACATGGCTACATTCGAACTTAGGACTGGAGCGGTGTTAGGTATGGCGCGTGTTTATAACGCCCAATTTTGGCGCTACAAGTACTGCATGAGTTTCACTATGTGGAGGGAACACTGCAACTTCTGCGCGCTCAGAGCATTGCTCGGGATGCGCAGAGCAGTTTTTCGCATTTTTCGCACGGTTGCTCGCTTCCAACACTACACTATGCAGAACCCACATTCAATACCCGCTCGGGGGGGGGGGGGCATTAAGGTAAGGTATCGTCTATTTCACGCCTGTATCGTCGAAGTGATCTAGCATTTTAATGAGTGATGCTTGTGCTGTAGCAATATTGAATATCAAGAAGTTGCAAACGCTCGTTATGGAGGGAGATCTCGGGTGTCAAAAGTTTGGTGGTGAAGCTATTTACATCTTTAGCGGTTTCATCTTCCACAAAGCTGTGAATATGGAGCATCCTCTGCTGGTGTATCGAAAAGTACACAATGCCTTAGTTCAGGGCCAGAATGGCAACGACGTTCCTTCGACACCGGATCATCTGAGTTAACCCAAGTCAGTTGCGTCAGGAGCCTACACATCCAGGTCAATGCGACTGGGATTTGAACGTGTACCAGGACGCAGTCCACCTTGATATCACGCAAGGATATACTTTCAGGCAGGAGTGTTGGTTGCAGGCCGGCAGAGCCCAGGACACCTTGACCATGGACGCGTTTTATCCTACATTCCTCCGGGTCTACATCTGAGTTGCGTTTAACCCCTTGATGGCGAACGCGTGGACCGTACATGATACCAGCAAACGCTTAACGTGGACCGGTCCACGTTAAGCATTTTTGACCCTAAGATTGTATGAGATCATACAAATGGTAAGTCAGTGGGGGCTAGGTGATATCCCCTTCCCTCCCAATGTTGAACATAAATTTTCAGTGAGTCCAGAGACGGTTTCATATAAGAAATGGGGGCCGGGTCGTGCTTGCTCATCCTGTACGTATTTATGAGGGTTGTCGACTGGACGCCACACATTTCCCCTCTCCCTCATTTTCAGAATCGCCTGCTCAAGCTCGAATGGCGTTCCAAGCAAGGTGGCGGGAGCTCACCAAACTCGGCTGGAAATTCAGCAAGCCTACAGGTCTCTCGGATGACTTCACGTACGTCATGCCGGGGAGGACGAAGAAGAACGGCGTGCGCGGTCAGGATTACTTCGTCGGCGAAGAAGAATTGATGAATCACTTGGACCAGATTGACCTCGGTGAGTTCGGTACATTTTAGTCGCACCTCCGACTTTAGATGTGACGTTGTGTGGTCGTTACTTGACAACAGAGGCCATGCAGCGCGAGGAGGACACAAACCAAGGTGCCACGCCTCACCGAAGCGTCTCCAAGCCCCCACCCGAATGCAATGCAGCCACAGAAAGGTGGAGGAGCGCACGCGGGCATTCTGCGGACAAGAGTCGCAAGCACACCCATGACCGATTAGAAGCGGCTCAAGAAGTTGCTCTCGCAAGACCAGGTATGCTGAAAGCGTATGTACATCTTTACAAAGCGGCTAATCATGTTCTCCTTTGTTATGATATATCTTAGCTTTAGAGGCACCGGCGAATAATGGGGTAGTACTTGCCGCGCCCACCCCCTCAAGTCCCGCTGACAACAGGACGCATGCTGCATCACCTCAAGCTACAGCTATCGACAACGAAGATCTTAGCGCTGGCGACGAAGCCCACGGTTCTCCAGCTGGTAAGACCCGGTATGTATCTGTTACCACTGTTTGTTCCCACTAAGTTGTATACTGCCCGATGAACTTGCAGGATCACCTCGGATACGTCGGAACCTGGCTGGCGACTTTGATGACAGAAACGACGCTGGTGATTGTGACAGTGGTGTGACGCGCTCCCGCACCTGCCCAGTCGCCCCTGGCATCGAAGAGACCAAAGAGCACGACACGATGAGAGATGAAGGTATGTTTAACATGTACATACAATTTATGATGTTGTTAATAACTTGTATGTACCCGTTGTTCATTACTATAGTCGCAGCAGAAGCCGTGGCAAGTCCTGAGAAGTTTGCGGCCCTCGATTCCGATGGAGAAAATGATGAAAGGACAGGCCGGGATGATGATGACCTCACCGGAGAAGGCGAACCGCTCTTTGGCATTGACGAAGATGGACCACCACAGCCCGAGCTTCTCTTTGACGCTTCTCTACTTGAATAATTGGCGGTGTTGATCGGATTACCGAGGGTGCTATGCCGAAGCAGATGCTCAAGGATATGGCGAAGACGGCGTAGTCGCCACTTACAAAGTAGACGCCGTACGAGTACTTGATGGAGCCGTACGAGCCGCGACCCACTGGTGCAATGCTGACCGACTATCCGAGGCTGTGCAATGGTCACTACGGCCCTACCACTGAAGCGCTGAACGCAGCTACAACACCTATGGGCGCCTTCCTCTACTTTATGAGACCAACACTGTGGGCAGATATTGCTACCACCAGCAACAACTACTTCAAAGAGAAGTTAGATGAACGAGTCCAAGGAATCTACAATAAACAAGTTGCTCGTGAGAAGAAACACCCGGCTTCAAGCGCAAGCAACCCGAACAGATTCGAGCAGACCTTGCAAAAACGCCAGACATTACCGCTCGAGAACTGTGCGTCTTCGTAGGCCTGCTGGTCGCCGGCACCATTTCACCAAACAAGGAGAAGCTCGAAAACCACTGGAAAACGACAGAAGAGGGGGGCAATACCGCGGGGCTGCTTTGGAAACTTCATGGTCCGCGATAGGTTCATGCATCTGTCCAGGAATCTGCACTTCAGCGACAACGCAGACGAAAAAGCATTGCACGACCGCGCGTGGAAGCTCCGGCCGGTGATTACAGCATTGCAGCGGAGGTTTCAATTGGGGTACACGCCGCCACCGACAATGGCGTTCGATGAAGCCATGCTGCCATCGCAGTCAAGCTTCAACAGAATGCGCGTCTTTATGAAAGACAAACCGCATCGCTGGGGCACAAAGCTATTCATGCTTTGCTGCTCCTCCACAGCCTACTGTATTCGGTAAGTGTCGGGTGGTCCGGTAGGATCACTCTTTCTTTTTTTTGATGCCAGAGTGATCTTATCGTGGACCATACCTTACGCCTATTTTGCTATCGTGTATGTACAGGTTTGAGGTGTACTGCGGCAAGCAAGAACAACCCAACGGCAGGGCTCTGACAGACTACAATTCCGGTCCCGCAGCTGTCATCCGCAATCTTCGTGAGGTCTTTGATCCTGCTGGCCCAGGTACAGGTGCCATGCGCCTGATTGTCACCGACCGCTTCTATACTTCCCTCCCCTTGGCAATGCAGCTACTTACAATGGGCTTCTACACGGTGGGGACTGTGCAAACGGATCGGATCGGACTACCAGTATCTATCGTCGGCGAGAAGAAGGAAGGTGAAAAGAAGAAGAAGCGGCCGCCAAAAAACCGTCCAGCATCCATCGAACGAGGTACCTTTGAGGTAACCGAGCACATGCAAGTCCCTGGGCTCAGGTCTCTGAGGTGGTGGGACAACAAAGCCGTCTACATGGTCGCCTCAGGCAGCAGCGTCGCGTTGGACCGTGTTGTGCGACGTGACAAGCTGACAGACCAGCAAGCTGAAGTTGCGTGCCCTCGAGTGCTGAAAGACTACCAGACGCTAATGGGGGGCGTCGACGTCCACGACCAGCTCCGCTTACAAAGGCAAGTACTGTTATCATGTATGTACATCATATCACTCTTACTAATCACGTATGTGCATGTGCCAGATACTCCCTGCAATTAGCGATCAAGTACAAGAAGTACTATAAGTCCTTGTTCCTCGGACTGGTAGATCTTGCAGTGATCAACGCATACATCGTGCACAATGCCCATCGGGCCGCCGTTGGCAAACGCAAGATGGCTCATGTCAAGTTCCTCAAGGACCTGCACCTGCAGCTCTGTCAACTCAAGGACGATGACTGGGATGGGCTCATCAACAACGAAATCCTCAACGCCACCCCGTCCAAGTCACGATCAAGGTCGCACCGGCCCGAGCACACGCGAGTCCAGAACGACGAATGGCGCGCTGGCAACAACCATACGGGCAGTAAGCGGAGGACCCGCGTTTGCAAGGTGTGCTCGCTGCTAAAAGGAACCGATGGTGTACGTGGCGGAGACTCGTCTATCTACTGCAGGGATTGCAAGGTGACTACGTCGTCGAAAAGGCCAATGGCATCAAGAGTGTTTCTCTGCGATAAGCCTTGTAACGGGGTTACACGCACAAGTGGCTACAGTCACTTGTAACTCTAACAGACACGACGTCTGTTAGAGGTTCGAAAGACTTTCTCGTCCTTGGTGTAGACACACCAAAGGCTACATACATTTAGGATCACCACGACGGGTGGTCCATAGAGACTTAGGATTCCTATTGGTTGAGAGCAGCATCTTTTAGCCAATGAGTGACATGCATAGCATTGGAATTCTGCCCTCCAGCCGTTGGCAGATTCCTAGTTTAGAATATTACATTTAGAGGAATTCAGAAACATAAAACAAAAATAGCAGTTCTCATCTTTTACCAAAACCCGATACTTGGAGTCTTTATCTTGTTTAAAGTATACTCGTGGATATCGAGTATACTTAACTCAAGTAAAAGAAACTTACGCTTCCTCATACACGTGCGCATACGTGTAAGCCGTAGTAGTGAGCCAAGGTAGGCCCATTACACCTGGTAGCACTTCGTAGTCCGTCCAACGACCGACTACCTGAACGTTCGTACGGAGCTGTACGAACGAGGAGCCGAGAACCTTTTCATGAGCACGGAGGTGCCCATGGAAAGCTCCACTTCGCCTGCAACTCATGTTGCACGCGCTGACTGCCTCCACCTGTCGGATCCAGAATGGGAGGCACTCCAACGACTGTCAACAGTCATTGGTGAAGCGGCTGTAGCTGCAATGCTGCGCACACTATCGCCGACGGAGCAACATGGTGTTGCTCTGGGATTCATCATGAAGGAACAGCGTGATGCTGCTTCCTCTATCACGGTGGCGTCGGGGACGACACCGCGCGAGCAAACGTTGAAGCTAAACGTGAGCAACTATGTCGGAAGAGAGGGCGAGCCTCTCCTCCGTTGGCTTGTCGAACTCGACACTGCCATCGCGGCTCGACGTATCGTCGACCCGTTGTCCAAGGTTGCGTTCGCCATGTCATGCCTTGGCGGACGAGCGAGACGTTGGGCGTATGGACGCCGACTCTCTGATCCTACGTGCTTCAGCACGTACGAGGGTTTCAAGGAGGAGCTCAGGCAAGCGTTTGAGCCCCCGCAAAATGAGTTTGGGTCGAGGGCAGAGTTCCTCGACCTACAGCAGGGTAAGCACGATTTCCATGCGTACGCGCAGAGAGCACGGTACTTGGTCTCGAACATTGTGACCAACCCGATACACGAGGCGACCAAGGTCGTCACGTTCATGAAGGGTCTGAGAGATGGGCCTGTAAAGACCTATCTCTTCCGTGAGTACCCGAGTACTATCGAAGCTGCAATCACTCTTGTAATGCAGGAGGAGTTTAGCCTGCGGCAGGCTAAGCTGCATGCACATGTGCCGAGGCCACAGCCTCGCCCCATAGTGAGGACGGGAGGTCCGGAGCCAATGGACCTCTCGAATGCAACGGCTGTTGGTTATCAACAGCAACAAGGAAGTAATATACGATGCTTCCGTTGCAGAAGGATCGGTCACTATGCCCGAGAGTGCACGGCACCCGTGCACCGAGATGGTGGTCGACGCGGCGATGCCGGGCATCGTCGCGAACGAACAAAAAACGCTGGAACCCAATAGGCGCGGGGCACCCTACTGGTGAAGCAGTCACGCATGTCCAACTCGGACATGCGACACTGAGGACTGCAGCCCCCAGTGAGGACCCTTCTCACTGCAAAATGCATGATGACAAACCGAACCTTGTCATCTTGAACTTGTCTTCGAAGAGAGAGAGGAAATCTGTTCGTGCTTTGGTTGATTCGGGCGCCTCGAACAACTTTGTTCGACTGCGAAGTCTATCAAGGCTTGACTTCGAGGATTTAAAGATACCTCGAAGTATGCTGGAGGTACGACTGGCAACGGGTGCCGTCGTGAAGACCGAGAAGCGCATAGTACGCGTGCGCTTCACGTATGAAGATCAAGAGTTTGTCGCGACCTTTATCGTCCTGGATCTGGACGATAAGTTTGACATTGTATTGGGCATGCTGTGGCTTGCACGGCATGATCCGGTCATCGATTGGGAGAAGCGCACTCTCGTGCGCTTCGGTCGCGACAGCGGAACAGTGAGCGATGGCCCTGTTGCCGCTACCCACGCACCGACAGGTGCGCGCGACTCCCCACTCGAGACAGCGCCTAATGCCACTGTCCCGGAGCGCCCTGGGCGCGCGCGAGCACGCGCGCAAGAGCAGCTAGCGTCGGCGTTGCCGCCGACAGCTAATGAAGGAAATGTGTTGACCTCGGAGGTCGACACCCGCTTTTCAGCGAATCAGGAAGAGTCTCCGGCCTCAAGGGGAACGGATGACGCAGGCGAGTCACACGCCTCAGCCGTGGAGGCTGACGCGAATCTGATTGGATCAGGTCTGGCCAATAATAAGAGCCAAGGTGACGTAACGCCGTCGACTACGGGAGTCGATGGCTTGGATGAATTTGATTCGTCGGCTCGGGGAGCCGACGCACCCTCCGTAATGGAGGGCTCCGCCAATAACAGGCGTCGAGGTGAAGATGGCGTGTCGGCTCCGGGAGCCGACGCTGCAGGCGGTGCGGACGGTTGCAAACGTTCTGCACCGGAAAAACTTGCATGCTGTCGTGCAGCCGGGCTGCACGACGAAGCGCCGGGCGACCAAGCCGGGCTTGAAGTCGCTCGCCCGCGGGATGAACCCGCCGGCGGTACTAAAGAAGAACACCCGTCCACGGCTGGGCCTGGACGAGGTCAAGAACCAAGCGGAGCCGGGCTCCGCAAAACAAGAAGACGGCGCATGCGAAGGTCGCTGCGCAAGTCTCGGCCTGGGGCCGAGACGCTACAAGGAATGTCTGCCGGGCAGACGGAGGCTGAGAAGCTGGACGTCGAGACGTTGAACGTCTTGACGCGTACCTGTGCCGGGTTCCGGTACAGGGAGATGACTCTCGCTAACCCTCCGACGCAAGCGTCGGAGCTGACTTCACTTCCAGTCATGAGCTGGAAGCGCTTCGCGCGTGACTTGCACGATGGACGCATCGAGCAAATATGCATTCTCTCGGACGCCGAGAGAACGAAGAGCGAGAATGAAGAACTGAGGCAGTTCTTCATGGAGACCACCGCTGAGAGCGAGGACACTCTCAGTGCGAAGACGAAGAAGGAGCGCTTTGAAGAGCAAAGCTGGGACTCGTTGAAAACGAGTCCCTACTACGAGATCTTACGGGAGTACGCGGACGTACTTCCGGAAGAGATTCCTGCGGAGCTTCCGCAGGACAAGGGAATCCAGCACGAGATTGATCTCGTGCCGGGCACGAAGTACTGTGTCACGCGGCAGTGGCCACTGCCGCGAGAGCAGGTCAAAGCGATCGACGACTTCTTCGAAAGTCGTCGCAAAGCTGGACAAGTGCGGGAATCGAAATCCCCGCACAGTGCTCCGACGATATGTGTCAAGAAGCCACAGGGCGGCTGGCGCATCGTTCATGCGTACAACAAGCTGAACGATGCGACGATACCGGCGCAGACACCGATACCGCAAAAAGATGTTATCATCGATTCGATGGCCAGGAGCACTATCTACAGTGCTCTTGATCTGCGCGATGGGTTCTATCAGATCCTCATGCGTGAGAGCGATATCCCTCTCACGGCAGTGAGCACGCCGAGCGGCATGCTCTGGGAGTGGCTAGTGATGCCACAGGGTCTGAAGAACTCCCCTGCGACCTTCAACAGGTGCGTGACGCACTTGTTGCGCTCGGTGCGCGACTTCGTACCGAGCTACTTCGACGATGTGTTCGTCCACAGCCGGGCTGCGGACGGGATGAGCGATGTTGAGATGCACAAGGTGCATCTCCGGAAGCTGCTTGCGCTCATGTGCAAGCAAAAGCTCTATGCAAACCTGAAGAAGTGCATCTTCGGGGCGAGCGAGATACCCGTGCTCGGGTGTATCGTTGGGAAGAACGGTGTCCGCCCTGACCCTGAGAAGGTCAGAGTGATCAATGAGTGGCCGACGCCGTCGAACGTCAAGGAACTGCGGCAGTTCCTTGGCTTGGCCACGTACTTGTGCAAGTACGTGAAGGACTATGCGGACACGATACGCCCGCTGTCACAGCTCCTGAAGAAGGACGCCGAGTGGGTTTGGACTGCTGAGTGTCAGCAGGCCTTCGATGCAGTCAAGAGGGGCTTGACTGAGGCGCCGATCTTGGCGGTGGCCGACCAAGATCGCCCATTCCACGTTGTGTGTGACGCATCCGACTTCGCAATCGGATGTGCGTTGATGCAGCACGATCACGAGGGTCGTGATCGTGTCGTCTACTACCAATCGCGCCGGCTGAAGCCAGCTGAGCGCAACTACCCGGTACATGACAAGGAGCTCCTTGCCATGAAGTACGCACTCGCGAAGTTCCGAGTGTATCTACTCGGAAGCAAACCGTTCGTGGTCTACACAGACCACGCGTCGCTGCGGACGGCTGTGAAGTCGCCGCACATCTCGCAACGAACGGCGAGATGGCTCTCATTCTTCGCAGAGTATAACTTCCGGGTTGAGTACAAACCCGGAAGGCTCAATGTGGTGGCCGACGCGCTCTCGCGTCGACCTGACTACACCACGACTGATGCCGACGTCAATGCCATTGACGCCATGCGATCGAGCACCCCAACGTCGTCACTGTTGGACGACGTGAAGGTCGCGTACGCGCACGACGCGGACGAGAAGCTCTTGCTGGCCTACGGCTCAGCGCCTTCTGACCAAGCTCGTCAGAAGCTGCCGAAGTATCTTCGTGCTCGTGCACACCGTTACCGGGTGCACGACGGGTTATTACTCTACAGTGCAGTCGACGACAACGCGGACCGCGCTGTCGTGCCCAATGACCATGACCTGCGACTCAGGATCATGTACCTGCGACTCAGGATCATGTACGAGTATCACGATGCACCGACTGCGGGGCATCCGGGCCGTGAGAAGACATACCTTCTTCTCACGCGAGACTTCTACTGGGCCCACCAGTACAAATGGGTGCGCGAGTACATCCGTGCTTGCGAGGTTTGTCAACGTGTGAAGCCTGCGCCTTTCGCGCAGGCTCCCTTGCAGTCACTACCAACTCCACGAGAGTGTTGGCAGTCCACGTCTTTGGACTTCGTGTTCGGTCTTCCCCCGGACAGTCAGGGGAACACGGGCGTTGTGGTCTTTGTTGACCGCTTCAGCAAGATGGTACATCTTGCTGCGGTACCCGCTGAAGTGACTGCGAAGCAGACTGCACGTCTGTTCGTCGACATGGTGTTTAAACACCATGGCATGCCGATCGACATTGTGTCGGATCGAGACCCGCGCTTCACTGCGCACCTTTGGCAAGAAGTGTTTACACTTCTTGGGAGTCAACTTTCGATGTCGACTGCGGACCATCCGCAGACGGACGGGCAGACCGAGCGCATGAACCGCGTGCTCGTAGACGTGCTTAAGAGCTACGCTCACTCGTTCCAACACTGGAGCGAGTGCATGCCGATGGCGGAGTTCGCCATCAACAACTCGGTGCATGCCTCGACCGGGCATACACCCTTCTACGTGAATGCCATGAGGCACCCACGTCTCCCGAGTCTACTCGGGATGGTGGCTCCTTCCTTAAGTGGGGGAGGATCTCCGACTGCACCGCAGCAGCCGCAGAATGCCGTTGACACTTGCACAGTGTCAGCCGCAACGACACGAAGTAAAGCCAAGAACCGCGCGTCTATGCAGGGCACAGACGCCGACAAGCGCACGAAGAACGTGTCTGTGCGGGGCACAGACACTGACAAGAAGAAGAAGAAGAAGAAGAAGAAGAAGAAGAAGAACGGGTCTGTGCAGGGCACAGACACCGCGAAGACGAACGCAGAGGCCGGGCCTACTGCTGGAAACGAGCTGAACGAGTTCAGCTCGGACGCAATCAACTTCGTGCAGCGCAGACAAGCCGTCATTCGGTTTGTCCAAGACGCTATTGCAGCTTCTGTCGACCGACAGAAGCTGAACGCAGACAATGTTGGCAGGGGCAACACTAATGGATTCGAGAACGGTTCATTAGTCTTGTTAGCTACTCAAAACCTGCCTAAACATGCAGTTTCCGACTTCGGGGCGAGCAAGCTCGCTCCACGCTTCATCGGACCGTTCACTGTGCTGGCACGGAACGGCAATGCCTACACACTGGACATACCGTCTAGTATGCGCCTCCATCCGACGTTCTACGTCGGACGGCTGAAGCCATACTTGCAGCACGAGCTACCTAGCTCGGCTGAACCACAGAAGACTCGGCGGAAGCCGTCATCCTCTCCAGCGCGACTTCGCGCTGGAGCAGCGGGTCGAGCTAATGGTCCAGCTCGGCCGGAACGATCGAGGCAGCCTGGGAGGCCGCCGCAACCTGAGGATGCTTCAGAGCGCCGAACCCAGCGCTCTGGAACTACTCCACGACCGGAACTCGGTCGTGGGGAGACGCGAGATCAGGGTCAACACCAAGTTGACCACACACGGGGCGTGTTCCCGCCACCGCCGCCGCCGATTCGTGATGCACACGGCTCAACTCGATGGATTGTTGAGCGGATTGTTGATCACAGTATCCCGAGAACGAACAGGCAACCAGTTCGTTTTCGTATCCGTTGGAGAGGATTCCCTCCCAACCAAGATACATGGGAGCCGCGGAACGTCTTGCTCGAAGACGTCCCGGACATAATGAGGGCGTACGAAGCCCACCATGCGCTGCACACTGGAACGTAATGCGAGCGCTGCTGTTAACAGCAGCGCCCGAAGACACTTCGAGGGCAGACATAGGCACCTGCCCCCCGCGGCAGCGACGCGCTTCGCACGTTGCCGCGCATGCTACTCAGCAGTAGAGAGGTTCTCCGCTGCTGCGCCAGCGGTCTTCAACTTCGACGCGCTCGTTCCATTACGAGCGCGCTCTCTTCCGTCACGCATTGACCAAGCGGTCAATGGTAGTTGACGTGCCGGGACCGGCACGTCTAACCTTGACGGGGGGATGGTGTAACGGGGTTACACGCACAAGTGGCTACAGTCACTTGTAACTCTAACAGACACGACGTCTGTTAGAGGTTCGAAAGACTTTCTCGTCCTTGGTGTAGACACACCAAAGGCTACATACATTTAGGATCACCACGACGGGTGGTCCATAGAGACTTAGGATTCCTATTGGTTGAGAGCAGCATCTTTTAGCCAATGAGTGACATGCATAGCATTGGAATTCTGCCCTCCAGCCGTTGGCAGATTCCTAGTTTAGAATATTACATTTAGAGGAATTCAGAAACATAAAACAAAAATAGCAGTTCTCATCTTTTACCAAAACCCGATACTTGGAGTCTTTATCTTGTTTAAAGTATACTCGTGGATATCGAGTATACTTAACTCAAGTAAAAGAAACTTACGCTTCCTCATACACGTGCGCATACGTGTAAGCCGTAGTAGTGAGCCAAGGTAGGCCCATTACAAGCCTTGTCGAGAGCACAACGGCATCCCGATCACGTGCTTTGATCTGTGGCACAAGGTGTGGCGCAACGGGACGGTGCTTCCCCATTCGGCACAAAAGCGAAGGATTCGCGCGCGCATGCCTGCAAAAGAACCTGGCACTGAAGAAGAGGAAGCCATGAGTGTTGCGTCTTGCGAGGACTCGAACGAAGGTGATCAATCAAGCGATGAATCTACGGCAGGAGGTCCCCACCTGCCGAAGCGAGTGCGTGTAGCCGATACTTAGGACTAAGCATTTGTCGCTTTGCAATTTATTTCCGTTTCATTATACTGTTGATCGTCACGTCGACTCGACAACTAGCATATGATTGTGTCGATCATGGCTCTGGACGTTACCCGCACGACTTTGATACCCTGCGGCGCGGCTTTATCGCAAGATCCGACTAATTTGTCCACATACACTTTTCGCACTAAAGTGTCCCTTTGGTGCGCTTTGGCTTACCATTATCGTGGAGATACACGATTAGATAGTAGCCGGATCACCAGGCGTATGTTTCCCGCATGCTATTGTCCCGTACCCGGGATTGGGACCCACGAACCAGGAGGGTCGCTGGGCCGATCTCGGGGCGAGCCTGCTTCGATACCACCCCGAGAGGGTCCACTGCCGGATATGGCTACAGTCGATAGTGGGTACACTTCGGGTACCAAGTCTGCGGTACAGCGTCCTCTCGCGTGAGGAGCCACTGTCGAATTGATGGCGCGGTGCATTGAAGTCAGGCCGAGCTGGTCGACGTGGAAGCTTCCGTGAGGAGCATGGAGCCGCCGCGGAGGGAGGTCGCGCGGCCGGGCGGTTCTGTTCAAGCCTTAGCGGAGAGGGGGTCGCGTCAAGGATGGATGGCATGCCAGGGTGCCCAGGTGAGGAGAGGAGAGGAGGCGTCGTGCTTATGAGCGTTCCCGGCCAGAGCCGACGGGCGCTTAGCTCTTTCAGTCTCGCATTTTTCCGATAACAACACAAGCTAACCAAGAGACGCTTTTCATTTACGTTAGCTCGGCTCCTACTACTTCTACCCACCCAGCTCTTTCCGACCTCACCCCACCCAGAGGCCGCACTCCCCAAACAACCCGCTGGTACCCGATCCCAACCGGGAGGGTGCGTGACAATATCCGAAATACACGTTACCAGAACGTATAAAAAATTGTATACGAACCCTTACCCGAACATACATGTTTTCTTAAGCTGACGGGGGCGCATGAAGATGCTCGCGCTCAAGGGGTTATGTCATTCAACGCTGCAAAATAATTTTTGTTCGGTTGTGACGGCAAGGATTTTGATCGCTGGGTCATGACTAAGTCATGACTTTTTCCATTTTACGAGGATAAATCATTATTTTAACAATACATTTCGTCAAATCTTACGTTACAAACGAAACACCACAATCGTATATTTTTGACACTTTACTTTTGGGTCTGACAGTTGACACCTCTCATGACAAGTCGTGATGGATCGCATGGCGGCGCAGATGGAGCGCGACCTGCGCTCCAAGTACAGCCACCTCATGGTGCAGTGGTACGAGGCTGTGGACTGGACGGAGCCGCTCATCGTGGGGCTGCTCTCCTTCCACGTGGCGCTGCTGGCAGCGCTCTGGCTCACGCGCAAGAGGCTCTACACGCAGTTCGCGCTCTTCATCCTCATCATTCTACTGGTGTTGAATACTGAGAGGCTTAACGCATGGGGAAGGGAGAACTGGCGCCTCTTCGCCACGCAGAGATACTTCGACCCGCAGGGGGTCTTCATGGGCATCTTCTACGCGGGACCGCTGCTGGCTACGGGTTTCTTCCAACTGGTATGTCGAAAATGTCGAAAATAGTTCCCGAAATGGCGAGATCGCATGGACTTAATTTCGTTGTTTTGTAGCTGCTCAGCATGAAGAACATGGTGGATATGGTGGTGATCGTCAAAAGGGCAGAGTACCGACAGCAACTCAAGGCTAAGAAGGATAAGTAGAGCCGTGCCTTGGCCAGTCGTGTTCAATTAGATATAGGTAGATGACAAAAACCTTCGAGCATGGATGATAACTACAGAAAACAGAAAAACTGGAGAATAGATGGATCGGAAAACTGGACGCTATCATTTAGGCATCGACAAGCTTCCTCAGCCTATACATCCGCTCTACCACTTGGCACGCAGCTCGTTGGGGAAGGCGGTCACGAAGTCCAGCCACTTCTCGACGTTCGGGTACTTCTTGAGGATGTCCTTGCCCACGACCTTGACGCGCTCGAAGACCGCCGTGTCGTCCTTCGAGGGGGACGAGCCGTTGACGAACGTGGAGCCAGCGAGACGCTTCTCCAGCACGTCCAGGGCCACCGAGCCCGTGGCCGAGATGAGCGAAGCCGAGCCGCTGGCCGACGGGGCCGGGGCCGCCTGCTCGTCCGGCTTCATGGCAGGGAAGAGCAGCACCTCCTTGATGTTGAAGCGGTTGGACAGGAACATGGTGAGGCGGTCGACGCCGCAGCCCCAGCCAGCAGTGGGCGGCAGGCCGTACTCCATGGCCGTGCAGAAGGCCTCGTCGTGCGGCTGGGCCTCGTCGTCGCCGGCGGCGGCCTGCTCCATCTGCTCGATGAAGCGCTCGCGCTGCACCTTGGGGTTGTTCAGCTCCGTGTAAGCGTTGCAAATCTCGGCGCCGGCCAGGAACAGCTCGAAGCGCTCGGTGAGAGCGGGCTTGGTGCGGTGGTACTTGGCCAGCGGCGAGTTGTACACGGGCTGGTCCATGATGAAGAAGGGCTTAGTCCAGTAGGCCTTGTTGTCCTCGATGAAGTGGCCCACCAGCTTGTCCAGCAGACGCGCGATGGAGCGAGGCGGCGCGCACTCGAGCTCGTACTTGGTCACAAGCTCCTCCAGGATGGGCAGGCACTTCTCCGGGTCGTCGATGGGGATCGTGACGCCCGTGGCCTCCTCGACGGCCGAGACCATGCTCACGCGCTTGAACGGGGGCGTGAAGTCGATGGTCACGGGCTCCTCACCGGGCTCCTTCTGGATCGTGATCGAGTAGCTGCCCGTGATCTCCTTGACCATCTCGGAGAAGAGCTTCTCCGTGAGAGTCATGAGGTCGTTGTAGTCGGCGTAGGCCATGTAGAACTCGCAGCTCGTGAACTCGGGGTTGTGCGTTAGGTCGATGCCCTCGTTACGGAACTGGCGGCCGATCTCGTAGACGCGGTCCAGGCCGCCGATCACCAGCTGCTTCAGGTACAGCTCCGGGGCCACGCGCATGAAGAGGTTCATGTGCAGGTCGTTGTGGTACGTCACGAAGGGCTTGGCCGTGGCGCCGCCCACGATCATGTTCATCATGGGCGTCTCCACCTCGAGGAAGTGCTGGTCGTCCAGGAAGCGGCGGATGAAGTTGATGATCTTGGCGCGAGTCTGGAACACACCGCGCGTGTCGTCGTTCATGATGAGGTCCAGGTAGCGCTGGCGGTAGCGCGTGTCCTGGTTGAGCGAGAGGCCCGCGTGGCTCTTGGGCAGCATGTGCATGCAGGGCGAGAGCAGCACCAGCTCCTGCGGGAAGATGGACAGCTCGCCCTTCTTGGACTTCCCCGGGTGGCCGCGCACACCCACAAGGTCTCCGCGGCGCAGGATGCTGTGGATCTTCGCGAAGGCCTCAGCGCTCTCGTACGTGCCGACGTCCGACATGATCTGCAGCTTCTTGCCGTCCGCGCGCAGGTCGTAGAAGACGAGCTTGGCGCCCGACGCGCGCTTGCTGTGCAGGCGGCCAGCCACCGACACGATCACGTCGGCGTTGTGGCTGCCGGCCTCCACGTCGCCGAACTGCTCGTGGAACTCGGGCAGCGACGTGGACACATGGAACTTGTGCGGGTACGGGTTCACGCCCTGCTTCTCCAGCTCCACGAGCGCCTTCTCGCGGTTGGCGAAGTACGCGGTCGGGTCCAGCTCCTCCTCGTCGGCAGCGGCGGCCGAGGCGGCCTTCTTGGGCTTGGCGGCGGCCTCCGCGGCCTTCTTGGCGGCCTTCTCGGCCTTGGCCTTGGCCGCCTTCTCCGCCTTGAGGCGGCGCTTCAGCTCGTTCTTGCTGATGGGCGCGGCGGCGTCCGAGGTGGCCGGGGCGGCCGGGGGCACGTCCGTCGCGGGGGCGTCGGCGGGGCTGCTCATAGTGCGGTGACGATCGTCCGGAAGAGTCTGGTGGGGGGTCGCCGGATTGGATAATGAAAACTTGATTGGCTCCTGGGCTTAGCCAAGACTTTGTAGCCAAGACTTTGTGGCGAGCCTCTCATATCCGATTGCAATGTGGTACACACCACGGAGTTTCACAGTCAGTCGGACCACTCTTCCAAGCGACGAGCGAGACAGATCTGGAGATCCGCCCGGCGGTGCTGAGGTGCCTCACACAGGCGTCTTCCTTCCCCCCACTCTGCGTCTGCTTCCCCAGGAGCAAGAACTGCCGCCAGTGCTGACCTCCATTCACGGTATCGATCTATACAGGCGGAGCCATGACCAAGGAACGGATAAGCTCGGCGGAGCTGGCGCAGCGCAAGGAGGAGTACTACGGTACGACGGGGGAGAGAAAAATAGGGAGCTCCTGCACAAATACTCTGTAGCTGGCTTGGGCTCTGCTGTGAGACCTATTTGAGTGGTGTGCTAATGTCTTACGTGTCGCCATTGCAGAGCTGCTGGCCACCAGTGACAGCTCACTCCGAGAAGTGCTGAACCAGAGAGGCGGCCTCGTGCTCGCTCGCGTCGGACGCTACCAGCCCTGGCCTGCGAGGGTAAGCTCGATCTCTCTATCGCTTAATCCTTCGGATGCAGCGGCTGGAGCTATTGAACTGACGAGTTGTTTTACTTCGGCGGCTGCAGTTTTGCGAGCCGGGGGAGTTCGCCAAGATGGCTCGGTATCGGGCCAAGAAGGGCCAAGCTTGTGTCTACTTCTTCGGCAGCAGGAACTAGTACGTGACGCAGACTGTGACGCTCAGGGTTTTAATGGTGGGGACTGACGGAGCCGCTCGTTGTGGTGTTTTTTGCGACGACTACAGCGGCTGGGTCTCGAAATCGTCCATCCAGCCTTTCCCAGAAGACCTGACCACTCTTACAGGGTCAGCCAAATACAACCAGGCTCTCATCCAAGAAGCGTTGGACGAAGCCAAGTTCGTGTTGGACGTGACGGACGAAACTGGCAGGCGCTTCTTTGATCGCATGTGAGTGTCTCCGCGTAGCTGGTTGGCCTCCGTGTTGTTTATTTACATGCTTTTTTCCGCTTTCGATGGTAGTATGGAGCGCAAGGAGGAGGCTGTTGATTTGCCCTGCGAGCGCTGCAACCGAGTGGACGACCACTACTCGCTTCTTATTTTGTGCGACGGCAAAAACTGCAAGCGGGAGTACCATATGAACTGTTTGAGCCCACCATTGGAGTCGATCCCCCCTGGAGATTGGTTTTGCCCAGACTGCGAAAAAGATCAGGAGAAAGAGCGTGAGAAGGAACGTGAAAAGGAGCAACTAAAGCGAGCGAAGGCGGAAGCGATGGATAAACAGGACGCTAGCGTTACGGAGGTGAATGCGGTCGATGGAGAATTGCCGGTAGCCAAGACCCCCTCCGCGAAGAAGGTAGTGAAGAAGCACAAACTGAAGTCCAGAGACGGCACAGCGAAGCGTCGTTTGGCATCCACTTCGCCTGATCGCGTCGGAGTCTCAGTCAAAAAGCCCCGTGCAGGTCGTTCGTCGTCTCGGGAAGTATCGCCACCGCCAAGAACGACGCCAAAGCGTTTAGATGGCAGGAAAAAGAAGCCGTCTCAACTTTCGATTCCTAGCAGCAGGGCTCAGCTTTTGTCCGACCCTGAAAGCGGCACAGCCGACGACGAACAACAATCAGAGGAGAAATGTCTGCTCTGCGGTTTTGGAGGAGAGCTGATCGTGTGCGAATTCCCAGCGTGTACCAAGGTATACCACCAATTTTGTTTGGGCGCCTACCCATTCCCGAAAGATGAAGACGCGACTTGGTATTGTCCTCGGCACACGTGCGTGTTGACTGGGGAGAAGGAGCTGTGTGAGGACGGCGAGAAAACAACAAACAAGCTGAAACATGCATCTCCTCGGAAGGTGAATGTCAAAAATGTGCTGTGGAAGTGCAACCAGTGCCCTCTTGCTATCGCGGAAGAGGCTCTCCCCCAGGTAATCACTAAACTTGTATAATTGGTTGCTTACTGAAATATTGACACGCTATTGTCGGTGTTTAGCTACCGCAGGGACAGATTTTCTCCAAGAAATCGCGGACATTTATGTGTCCTAATTGCTACCTGAACGCGCCAGCTAAGGTTCAGCTTGCGAAAAGACTGGAAAAGATCTGGTCAACGCTGGCAACGAATCGACAGGGAATGCCGTTCTGTGGACCGTTGCTGTGTGGTGTTGAGCCTGTGGACGGACAGTCGGAGGATACGCGAACACAATTGGACTTATTCAAAGTGTTGGCGAGGATTCGACGATTGGAATATAGCGAATCAGCAGGATTTTCGCGAGATATCGACGAGGTGGTGGCGAATGCGCTGGATCTTATTGCAAACCGCTCATTCCCGCTAATGGAAGCAGCGAAAACGCTAAAAATTATTCGTAACGAGCAGTTCGCAATCCACCAGCAGAAGCTTGATTTTCTGGATACCAAGATCCGACGCCTTCAGACTGATGGGGAGAATGGACGTGACGACGATGACAATTTGGCGGATGCGGACAAGAAAAAATGGCCTCTTCGATGGCGCCAGGAATGTGGGCCATTCGAAGACAAATATTACGCGCTCCTGGACGCGAAGTCACTGGAGGAGTGGGCAGCGCTTGTTTCAGCAGCGCCTCTATACGCAAGTGGGGATGAGCTCGATGCTCGGAGTGCTGTCGGAGCCGATATGAGTGACGAGTTAAGTGGAGGTGAAGATGAAACTCAGCAGCGAAGCAGGAGCCCGTCATTAGGCTCCGCGAATGAGTTGTCTGGTCCTCCAGCTGCCACTCGGGTGGAATCGGGCCTTAGCTTGTCGGAAGGAACGGATGTGATGATCGCCTTCGGTGATTTGTCTAAGCCAGGTTGCGGCACCCAGAAGCGAAGGTTTGGTGGTGAGCAAACGAAGGAGCTGGACAGCATGGATACCCGCGAGTTTTTCCTGTCGCCATCCACCAGCGAGATGCAGCACATGTTTGATCAGCAATCTACCCTCCTCCGCAGCGCATTAGAGGCACACTCAACATTGCAACGGTCATGGCTTATCAGTCAGCAAGATATGCTAGGTCTTGGTGGGCGTGGTGGGTTCTCTGTTGGAGAAGGCCGACTTGCTGCAGAACTACGACTGGCGAACAAGGTACGCGAAAGTTTGATATCTAACCTCGAAGCAGCTATTATTCTTAACTGTTTTGTGCTGCCCAGAATCTCCGACAACGATTGCGAAACAAAGACAAACTGGTTGATCAACTGACCTCGGATCACATGGCACTGCGAGCAGAAGTGATCAACCTCCAGCGAGAGCTCTCGCAAAGCAAGGTAAGACAGCGACAACAGCTCGTACTTGCTATAAACATTTGGACTAACGATGCGTTTGTAAAGATCCGTGCCAGAGAGCTGGAAGAACAGATTGCCACGGCTGGAAGCATCAATCAAGGCCGCCCCGACGACGCTCATGCCGGCAACAGCAAGACTGTCGTTTCCAACGGAGAAATGGCAGCTACACCAGATCGAAGTACGGATGAGGAGCACATGTTCTCGTAAGCCCAGTACTACGCTCCCTCCAAAGGGTGATGGTATTCTTCACGGGACCTGGCTTGCACTAGCAATCCAGCCTTTCGCGCGTCTGAGGGTTCCCAGCTTCGATGAGGGACACAGTCAGCGCGAAGAGCTTCTGGGTTGGGTGGGTTCCAAGTAAATGGCGTGCAATATCATGTGAACACCTAAAAACACGGCATTGTTGTAACTAGCGCGGTGGTCTTTCGCTCTCGGTTAATGAAATGCTCTATAATGTGCTGTCCGCTGCGGATACAATACCAGGGAAAGACAAACGTTCGGCTGTCGGATCTTAAAGAGTTTCCGAGTACCCGAACACAATTTCGTGCTCTACTGCAGATGCAGTCATGTTCCACATCTCCGATGAGTAGATAGTTGGCTCCGTCAGCGGCATCAGGAGCAGCGAGAACCCGTAGATGCCGAAAAAATAAGCTCCGAGGAGCACTAAGATGATAAACACAACTCACATGTATCAGCACACATTCGCTACCGTCGTCGACACAGGCTAACGCACCTAATCGATAAGGGTGCAACGAGCTCTCCGGATTGAAGAAAGACAGGTCTGGGAAGCCCATTACGTTGCAAAAGACGTGGACAAGGAAAATCGACGCGAAGTGTCCTAATGAATGGAATGACAAATACGAAGTGATGAGATGATGATCACAAGCAACAGCTACAGCAGCCATGAGATTGAGCCAACCTGTTCTCAAGAAAATGAACGTGGCATATGCTCCAAAGAGAGAGGTGTAAATGAGCTGGAAACCTGCATACGATCGCACAAACAGCGTCAGGGACCCTAGCGACAGTACCATCATTGACATCAAAAGAGGCACCCACCAACAGTCAACGCGGCGTCCTTCGGAGACCGACCGTGCCTCACATACTCCATAAAGTGGTGCAAATGGGCTGCGCGCGGCAAGAATACAACCGGTAAGTCTCAAATATTGCACAACAAACAGCCACACGCGCCGTACCCGCTCCAAACATGAGTGGGCTGCCCAAAACGATCTGCTTGACAGTGAACTCCGCGCACACGAGCAGCGGAACCATGCAGCTCCGGAACACAAACTCTTCCGTCAGCGGGCCCTGTAGTCAGCACGCACAGCCCCGTCAGCACAGCGCACCAACTCCACCTCCTCCTCCTCCTCCTCAATGATAGACTAAGCCCCATACCAGGATGTAAGTGCGCAGTGACGGCAGGCGGTCGTGCGTGATCGAGTAGTACAGCGCCGAGTTCTTGATGGCGAACCACAGCCCGTTCGAGTGGAACTGCTTCGACACGTTCAGCAGCCGCAGCGCGTTGGCCAGCAGCGAGCCCGTGAACAGCACGGCCGTCGTGAAGAGCGGGATGACGACGGCCTGCACCAGCCCCTCCCAGCGGATGCCCAGCCACTGCGCGAATGACATGCTCGCCTCATCCTGCGCAACAGTCCAACTCTCCGTCAGTTGAGACCAAATACAATACCTCGAGATCCCTTGGCTCTAGCAGGCAGCAAACCGTACGTGGTCGTAGAAGACGGCGAGCACAAACGGGCAGATGGCGCAGAAGATGCAGATCAGCAGGAAACGCGCCAGAATCTGCAGCAGCAGCGGCAAGAGAGAAAGAGAAAGAGGAAAACAAAAGAGAGTCAGAGGTGAGCGGAGACCGAGAGCTCTCTCTATCGCTGGAGCGTACGTGCGTGGGGTGGTCGCGCGGCAGCCGCCGGATCGCCTGGGGCAGCGTGTACAGCACGCCGACGTAGGCCGCCGCCATGCAGGAGCAGGCGACGACGGCCGTCGTGGCGGTCACACTGAATCGCATCTTTCCGGCCCGAGGTGGCGAGAGTGCGGTGCTGCTGCGTCGGAGACGTCGAGCATAAAGTGGCAGATGGCGATTGGCCCATTATGGCGGCAGTTTCGGCGAATCAGACGCAACCTGCTGCTGCGGAGCCAAGCCCAACCAATTTGACAAGCTACCGCCAAGAGCCATGGCCGACACGCACATGACGGACGCCAACGCGCCCGAGGAGACGGAGATCGAGGTCATCACGGCCGAGGAGACCACGCAGGAGTTCGACATCGGCGAGGCCCCGCAAGGTGCGCGCTGCTCGTGGCTGTAGCAGTCTCAGAACCTTCCTCTGAGTTGACATCCACTAACTGTAACGCAGACGACGATGAGGACGCCATGGAGGACGTGGACGACGACGGCAAGATCTCGGCGGAGGACGCCGACGTGCGCGACGACGCCGAGATGGTGAGGGCATTTTCAGGTTGTAGTCGTGGGTAGGTGGGTGGACGCTTACGAGATGGCTACACTTGTTTCATTAGGTTTTCAACAAGCACTCGGGCCCCGTGTACTCAGTCAAGGTGAACCCGGTGGACCCGCGTATCGTCATCACTGGCGGAGGCGACGATGTTGCGGTCATCTGGAACCGTGAGGACGGCAACGTGCTGTACACGCTGTCGGGCCACCAGGACTCCGTCGTGAGCGTGGACTTCAGCTTTGACGGCAAGTACGCGGCCACTGGCGGCTACGACGGTGTTGTTAAGATCTGGGACGTCGCTACCGGCAACTTGGTGCAGAACCTGGAGGGACCCTCGCAGGAGGTCGAGTGGGTCTGCTGGCACAAGAAGGGCAACGTGGTGCTGGCGGGGTCTGGCGACGGCACGGTGTGGATGTGGCTGGCCACGACGGGCGAGTGCATGCACGTGTTTGCCGGACACGAGGACGGCGTTACGTGCGGATCGTTCACGGGCTCTGGAAAGGTTCGTAAATACTGGTCGTGCTGGTAGTTTGTTGGTGATATCTTACTTTTTTGGTGTGGTGCAGATGATCGTGACTGGCAGCACTGATGCGACTGTGCGTGTGTGGAACCCCAAGACGGGCGAGTGTAACCACGTCTTCCGAGGGTACGCTGCTGTGCTGTATTGTGTCGTTTTTTGAAAATGGAACTAGTGTCTGACTAACTCCTTACTTTTAAAATGAATAGCCACGGCTTCCACGAGGGTCATGTGACGTTTGTCGCCAGCCACCCCAGTGTACGTACTCGACTTGCAACATCTTTGGGCGTTATAAACTGGAGATACTGACTGCGTTGACTTGTTTAGCAACCCCTGGTGCTGTCGGGATCGCAAGATGGCACTGCCCGCCTCATCCAAATTCAGACGAAGCGTGTGCTCGCTACGCTCTCTCACGATGGCGTTGACGCTAGCATCGCTGGAACTGTCAACGACACCTCGACTTCAACGGAGAACTCGGTGGAGTGGTGCGTTCAAGCTTGAGACTTTGACACTTCGGCTCCGTTCGCTGATTAATGTTGTTTTCATTGCACAGCGGTGGATTCTGCAACACGATGAACTGGGCTGCCACTGGCTGCCTCGGTGGATACTTGCGCATCTGGGACTTGGCGACGAATCAGGTAAATTCAGTGTCTGCACTCAATCCCATCTCTATTGTATCAGGGCTGACAGCTTGCTTTCAACTTGATACAGTGCCGCCACGTTTGCCGCCACCCTGCGGGTGTGATCAAGCTCCTGTGGCACCACACGCTGCCGATTGTATACTCGTCCACTGTGGAGGGTCTGCTCTACGTCTGGGATGCCCGGACAGGACAGCTCATGAAGACGCTGGCTGGACACACTGACATGGTGCTGGATATGACCTTTATCCCCGCCTTCGAGGGCAACCCTGTCGCTGGGCTTCTTACGGCGAGTGACGACGAGTCTGTGCGACTCTTTCGCGTGGACAACTAGGCGAAGGTGTTAAACAGGAATTCAACACGCTCTCATTGACTTGCAACAATTGTTAACATGCACGGTGTCAACCGAAGAAATTCTCCACTTCAAACCGCATACGAGTCGTATGTATGATACGACGCAGTTTTTAAGACGTAAAAATGCTCAAAATGCTGTGTATGAATTGCATATACTGCAGATCTCTACTACGCGAATGTGAAACTAACCGTGCGCTCGATTACATCGGCGTTGAGTTACGCCTCATACAATCTGTAACAGCGATACAAGCAGAACACATTAGCGCCATAAAGCCGAAAAGGCGGATTTGATAACGTAACACGTACACTTCGTTCTGGAAACTGGAGCCACTGGCCGCAGCGTCGGCGTGCGACTGGTACTTGAGCGTTTCGTTCTTGCCAAGGTCGACGAGCGCCTGACGGAAGCCCCGTCCGATAGCCTTCTGGCGGTCCTCAGCGTTAGCTGTTGCGCTCCAGATGGCGATACGGTCCTGCGCCTTGCGCACACTAACTACAGCGCCGCAGACGTCGTCCTCGTCCTGCAGCGTCTCGCCGATCAGCGAAAGCATCTGCAAAGATCAAAACCACATTAGATCCTGCACTCTTAAGTCTATTGCCGGCATCGCCGCAACGCAACGTACCACGTAGAGCCAGCACTCATCTAGTCGCGCTTTCCGCGAGCGAGGGTTGGTGAAAATCCACTTGCCTCCCTTGGCGTTGATGGGGTCCTCCCACATGGGCCGGATGCCCTCCTTAAACAAGTGGTAGTTGCTGCCGATCGAGAGCTTCGTGGGGGCCAGGATGTTGTTGTACAGGCTGCAAAAGTCCACCACCACGATCCACACTGGAGTCAACGTCCGCCACACAAATCCATGCTCTTCCCGCACAACTCCCCAATCCTCCACCAAACAAACTGCCGCACAACGTACCACCAAAAGTCCTCCACCGTGTTGAAGGTGTAGACGTTCTTGAGGTTCTCCTCCCAGGACTCGTTCGAGTTGCGCTTCTTCGGGTTGTCGTACCACAGCACCCATCGGTTCTGCAGCGGGTGCTGCTCATCATCCACGGACAAAGCGATGAAACACACACGCAAATAGGCGCATCAGCCACACTGCACCCTCCCTCCTCCTCTCTGTATCTGTGCCGAAAGCTTAATCACCTTGGTAGCGACGTCGTCCACGGTGGCGGGGACGGCGACCGACATGTCCTTCTGCTCCTCCACGGGCTGCGCCTCCTTTACGTTCTTCTGCTCGCTCATGCTGCTGCTACTGTGTGCTATGCTGTGAGCTGTGTGTGTAGACTGGTCTGCTGCTGCTGGCGTCGAGGAGCTCCTGAGCTGTCGTCGACGTTCGTTCTCTGGTGGCGATTGATGGGCTCTCCCTCGGCGGTTGGTTGGCTCAAAAAGGTTGGCCTTAATTGGCTAAAAAAATGGCACTAAGTCGAATAGTGACATCCAGCCCTAGCCCCCGACCCAACCGCTCTCACTTGGTTTTTGTATGCCCGGAAGTTTCCTTTTTTGACTTCAACGTGCACCCTCACCAACACTCTGCATCGCGGCGCCTTTGGTCCAGGCGTCGCTGTTACGCGCGAGTCTGCCGCCATGCCGAGCGAGTATGAGGACAAGTACCTGCTGCTGCGCGATGAGAACACGGCGCTCAAGAAGAAGAAGAATGAGCAGGAGGCCACCATCAAGCGGTGCGCCACTAATAAAACTACGCTGCGACTTGTGGCAGGATCCACGTTAATTTTTATTTTGTTTACGTTCTATCTCAGCATGTACACGAAGCTGGCGATGATCGAAGAGAAGCTCAGCAGGAAGCGGCAAAGTGAAGGGAAGAACAACCAGGACGACCCAGGTACAGCACAGGTTCAGGGGCACACAAGCCTGATCATGTATCTTAACCGGTTTCTTTGAATGGGATTGTATACTTCTTTTGCTGCTGCAGAGACTGGAGGCAATAAAGCTGCAGTTATCCCTGTGAGGCGAGATCTGGACACGGAGAAGTTCATTGCTGCTTTGAAGAATGAGAACGCAACGCTGCGGAAGAAGAACCAGTCGCTGATGGAGAAGAACCGCTGGTTGGAAGAACAGTGTCGACAGTCCAGCGCCTTGAAGCGACTCGGCAGCGTTGCGGCTCCAGCTTCACGAGGGCCAGTGCAAAAGCGCCCTCCTATTGCTCGGAACCCACCTAGTAGCAGTGCTGGCTTTGCAGGGAATACGCTGGAGAAACAGGCTGAAAATGCGCGCAAGTTGCACAGAGAAACCTTTTCGGGAGACCTGGAGGTGGCACTGAAGAAGCGATTGGTGATAGCCGAGAAGCAGTTGATGAAGCTACAAGCAGAGAACGAGCAGCTCCGATCTAACACCAGTCGACTGCAATTGAAGCCAAGACGCGACAACAATGAGGACTCTGGGCCGAGCGATGGCGAAGATGATAACATGGAAGCTAACAAAGAGTCGAATAACTTAGAGCTGGAGCAGATGAAGCGCGAGCTACGCGACCGCCAAGCGCAACTAGCGATTTTGAATGCCCGCTACGAAAACTTGGAGTCCAATGCACTGGCAGAGCGTGAAATTCAGGAGAAAACGCTCGGACAAATGGAGCAAATGAACCGTCAGGTGCATAAGCTCCGGACCCAGTTGCAGGACGCAGTGATGGAAAAGGAAGAGTTGGAGATTCGCATCATGAAAGCTGGCGATCAGGAGAAGGACATTGCACTGCTACGTGAGCAAAACCGCCGTCTGGAGGAGCGAATGACGTCACTGTGCGAAAGCCCATTCATCAATGACGCCTTCCAGCGTAAGGAGCGTATTGACAAGCTTTTCGATTTGGAGAAGCTAACGCAAGAGCAAAAGGCGACAATAACGCACATGACTGACGAAAACCAGAAGCTTCAAGGTGTCATTCGTGAGCTCCAGAGCAGCATCAAGCAGTTGAAGCAGGCAAAAGATCGGGTTGAGCAGGATTTAGCACAAATGGCGCACCATTTGATGGAGGAACGAAATGCACGAAGCCTTGAAGCCATGAAATCGACTGCTAGCAATGTGCCAATACCGAGACCAGAGCCTTTGGTTATTGTTCGCCAGCGTACACCTGAGTCACAGCCCCAACCTCCCGAAAAGCGAGACGCTTGCTCTTCACCTGTGAATAACAATGCATCGCCAGGAAAAAAGCCAGCCCCCTCGCTGACGGTGTAAGTATTCTACTAGTCGCTCAAGTTTGTGAGTTTGGTACTGATGTTTTAGTGTGATATTGCTTTCTGTAGTGGTGGAGGCGTGGTAACTCGCAAATACGGAGATCTTCCTTCAGCTGCAAGTTTTCTCGATGCGGATGATGACATCAGTGTAAAGCATTTGCGAAATCGTGTACACGTTCTTCAAATCGCACATTTGAAGTCAATGCAGGAGCTGGAACGCTGTGAGAAAATGTTACAAGCCCAAACGAATATCAACCGCGAGCTTGCCTTGGAGATCGAAGAACTGACAACGTCAAAGATTTCAAGCTCGAACCAGCTACAGCGTCGAATGAAAGAGCTTGAGCTGCTGTGTGAAGAGCGCCAGCAACGAATTCACGCCCTTCAAGCTGAAATTAAGCAGTTAAAATACGCCCGAGAGAAAATGCTGCTCAAGGCTCGAGAAGCTGAAGAAACATGCTCCGACGATTCAGCAAGTGACGACGAAGGGAGTGAAGTGGCGTCTTTATCCGAGTCGTTGATCTTAGCCTCAAGGGATTTGGCTCCTGGTGAGCAGCTTCTCGAGGTGGGGATTGTAAGCGGAAACTTTGACAACAGTGTGGTCGGGATAAACTCGTCGACCTTTGTAATATGCGACTTCTACGACTTTGAATCGCAGTCTACACCGCTTCTAATGGGGAACCGCCCAGAGTATAATTTATCGGCTACATTCAAGGTGACGGTGGATGGCTTTTTCTTACGCTATTTGGCCTCGGAGTCCGTTGTTCTGGAGGTACATCAAGCTATTCGAGGGGATTTTAAGCTGATAGGCAAGGCCTCTGTCCGTCTTTCCAAGTTGCTGCAATCGAAGGGGGTTGTGAAAGTACCTTTACTTGCTGTCAAGGCAATATGTTGCAACAATGATGGTGGAGCTCCCGTTTTGGGAACGTTGAACGTGGTTCTAAGACTGTCTACTCCAGTCTCAGAAATCTGGCAGGTGCATCTCCGCTCTTATCCGCAGGATATTTTATTGCTTTCATCCGCAAGCAAGCACAGAGAACCAGATACCCCTACAGATGTACTAGGTGGACAAGACCTCAACGCAGATTCCAGCCATTCCATGAACGAGCTGCAAATCACGGTATTTGCATGCCGAAAGCTGCGTTCTTACGGTAAACGGTCGAGCGGATCGGTGTCGCGAGTCCCGTCATCTTACGTGCATTATCAGCTACTCGGTTTTCCGGACGTGTTCACGAACATTGTTCCGGAATCAGCAAACCCTGAGTATGACTTGAGCTACAGTCGACAAGCTTTCACGTTAGAAGTCGACGCAACTCTCCTTCGTTTTTTCTCGAAGTTCCGATTCTGGATAACGGTGTTTGACGACCAAGTGGATCTCGATGACAATGCACAAGAAGACGGGGTTGTGGGGAAGTGTGGACTTATGCTCACAGATCTCGTCAATGGTGAGAATATCCGAGGTTGGTTCCCCTTGAAAGATGGAAACGATCAGCATGCTGGAGATATTTCTGTTTTGATCCAGTGGAAAGATCCTTTCCAGGTGCTGCAGCTTATTTCCTCGCAACGTGCACGGGGAGTTCATGGGCGTCCAATCGACATGCACTCACTTGACTTCGATCAGCAGCATGCGTTACTGGCGATGTTTTCTTCAGATTTAGATGGGCGGATAAATTATCGACAATTTTTACACTACGCGGATCCGTCGGAAGAATTGGAATTGCTAGTAGCAAAGCTCAAAGAGCGTATTGAGTATGCAATTGACGCGGAGTTGGTGACTTCAGCTGACGATGTCTTCACGGTAGCAACGGAGCCGAGACAACGGAAGCGCATGGTTATCTCAATGGATGCTTTCGCCCAAGCAGGTGAAAAGCACGGTATTTTTCTCTCGGATTTCGAACGAGAGCATCTGCTAGCTACGTTTGGGGTCGCTGATAGCTCGCCGGAAAACAGATCGACGGTCCCACCGGCCACCGGCGAAGACAGCAAATCGATCTCGTTGAGGTACTTACTACTGCATATCAATCCTCGATTGGGTTGTGTCGAGCGGTTGCTGTGCCACAAAATTCGGCAAACCGTGCATCGATACGTGCAAGAGCAGAAGAAGCGAAAACCTGCAGATGTTGTTCCAGCTCCAAAGATTTTTGAAAAGTTTGATGATGCGAGATGTGGCCAAATCAGTCGATCCGCGTTTAGAAAATGCATGGCTGCGCTAGGATTCGAGTTCATGAGTGTGGAGTCAGAATACCGTGAACTTGTTCGAAGTCACACGCAGCCTGGGTCCGGCGTCATTGCAAGTGATTCGATCGCGAAGGATGCTACACCTCAATGTCGTGGCAGCATCGATCTGGACGAGGACATACTAGAGGATGTAACTGCAAGAGCTAAGCAACAATTGAAGCAACCGGCGCACCATGACAGTGAGATAGAGAAGAAAACTGGGCGTGCAGTGAAGTGTGCCGAGGCACCAACGCTAGATGTCTCGGAACCTACCGCAAGTACAGTGCCACCTACAACTGAGTTTCAGCGGCGCAAACAAGCTTTCACGGATCGGATGAAGGCGATTGCTTCCGCTAGTAGCAAAAACCTGGTGTACGAGCAGGTGGAGAAAAAGTTGCAGGATCGGAGAGTGCAAGCAAAGGAGAAGGCTGTGAAGGTGTCTCGACAGGAGATACTTGCGCAACAAGTGCGTCAACTTCATGTTCCTCAAAGTATTCACCATGATGCGGCACGGACTTTACAGAAACATTATCGCCAGTACAAAGAGCAGCAGCATCAAATTTGGGAAATTAGCCATGCCAAGACAACGATTTTAGACGCGGATAGCCAACTTCAAGCAATTCTGGCTAAGTGGAGCTTTGCCGACTTAAACGGTCTCGAAGATGCAATCCTGTCAGAAATCGAGCGCGATGCCCCAGAAGCAAAACGTAGCAGACTGCTGTCGAAGAAGCAGCTTGGCTATTTCCTTTCTAAAGCTCCTCGAATTGCTTTACCGCCTGCGTTGCTGTGGAACCTTATGGAGTACTTCTCCGTTAAGGAAGCTGGGATGGTGGCGTATCGAGCCCTTCTCAACTTTGTGTTCTCTACATCCACCGAAGAAAGTGAACGCGGACAGAAACAACGGTTGTCGGTGCTAAAACGACTACTCTTTGACATTGGGTATGCATCCCACACATTTGTTTCAGCTGGAGATATGAAAGGGACGGGTATTATTTCCTTCAAGAAGTTTCGCGAGTGCCTGGCAAGACTTGGTGCCCAGCTCTCTGCGAAGGAGCTACATCTTGTGACTATCATGTTGGATGCAAATGGTTACGACATTCTCTACCATGCACTTTTTCAACTTTTGGCACAGTTGCCTCACTGCCAGCAGTTGACAAAAGCTCTGGAACGGTGCCATCAGTTCGGTATCGCTTTGCTACGAGAGAAAATCTTGACATTTGTCAGCTCGGACGATGGATCTATGACTCAGGAAGAACTAGTTCGTGTTCTAATGATGCTAAGTTCCGATGGGGCCCACTTTGAGCCTGAGGATTCGAGCGTGCTCTTCCGCATGACGGCAGGAAATGCTGATAGTACGAAACGAGTTTCCATTCACGATCTCTGTCTACGGCTTGAGTGGGCGGAGAAGTACAGCAAAAAATCTTGGTCCGACGAGTGGAACCAGTATGATATGCATCAGCTTCAGCGGTTGGCCTGGAATTGCCGAAAGCTTATCTGTGGTAGCTACTCCGATTTGAAAGACGAGTTCGAGAGGTTTGACTGGCAGGCTCGAGGTTTTGTCTCTTTAACGGAGTTTACCTCCATCGTACGCCGGATTGGATTCGTGTTGTTCACTGAAGGTCAACTTAAAGGAATGGCTAAAAGCTTCAGTGTCAAGACGAACGGATCCTTTGGAATCAATTATCGGCAGTTCCTGGATTGGACGACACCACCTCTGCCAGTCGATATGGACGCTGTTGAAGAGAAGCTCCGCAAGTTCGCCCACGACCAAGCTACTAAGCTGCCTAGTAGACAGCTCTCGGAAGTATTCGCGCTGTGGAACAAAATCTTTTCTGCCGAGGCCGAGTCGTCAGCGGATAGAGCAGTGACTCGCTCAAACTTCGTAAACATCTTGCAAACCCGCCTGGGCGTACCGCTGGACGAACACGAGATGCGTACGCTGTTGTACACTTATGACCCGAAGTTAGAAGACCAAATCGACCCGGATACCTTCCTTCGAATGAATTGGCGGGAGGAAGCGCTTGCACGTCGTGAGCGCGTGAAGGTGGACACTGAATCAAAACCAACCGCACCAGAGATTAAAAAGGACGCTGTAGGGAGGGATTCAAGCTCGCGGGTACTCAAAGCAAATACTAAGAACGTTTTGAAAGGCACGCCTGCTACAACATCGCCAAATCAGAAAGCTGCCACCAAACCGACTGCGTCATCAGCACCTGCGATCCAGCCAAGGTTGGGAAGAAGTCCAACCGCCGTCCTGTCAGATTTTCTGGATTGGTGTGAGGACCGTGGCGTGGATTTCCGGGGGGAGCTGGAAGCTAAGGACACCACGTATACGGGTTTCGTGACAGCGATGGAGCTAAAAGACACTCTGCTTCGTCTAGGATTCGCGAATATTGCCTCGCCTTCATCTGCCGAGGTCATGGTTGGTCAGCTTGTCCGTCAATTCCGGAGCCCGGAACGAACAGATGCAGTGCACTACACGACGATGTTGTACGAAGCAACAAAGCCCTTCTCGACTGGTAATGACTCACAATGGTATGAGCAGATAACGGAGCACTTGCGGTCACGCATTCGTGCGAAGGCTAGTCTCGCAGGTAAGATCGATCATGCAGATACAACAATTTATGCCAAGTTGGACTCCGCATTCAGCCACTTTGACCGAGAGAAGAAGGGCTTTTTGACAGCAGCAAACCTCCACACTGGATTACGGGCTCTAAGCTATGATCTAACCGCAGAGCAACTCGACAGCATGATGGCGCAGATCTGCGTCTTTCGGCACAGCGGAGGCGGACTATCACGAACCGAGTTCGATTCATTTGTGCTGGACCCGTACTGCTCTCGTCTGCTACGAAAGCTTTCCGCTCAACTCTACTCTGAAGTGGAGCCCCACAGCCAAGACACGATGCCCCGAGTTGCATATTTGAGCAGGTTGCTGATGGAGTGTGGAGGAGATACCCATCCAAGCAGTCTTCCCAAGGAGACCTTCTGGACCCAGTTGGAGCGAGCACTAGAGCGGCAAGTGTCAGCGTGGGAACGACTGCGTTTTCAGCATCTCTTCGATGTAAAGCGAGACGGACACATCGCCTATAAGCTTTTCCTCAAGGTCATGTCCCAGTGGCGAGCACCACTCACTGTGGCAGGACCTGTCTTGGCAGCAGATAGCAAGGTGGCAGAGCATCGACAAGTAACCATTCCACAACAGGAATCGGCCGTCAAGCCGGAAAAGCACCAGCGCAGACTCGAAGAGACTACTACCAGCAACACTAAGCCGCCATGTTCGTGTGATGCGATTCTTCGATCGTTGTACAACCAGATGTCCTCGATCGATTTTGATTCGCAAGTGGACATTGTGGAGGAATATCTGAGGCTAAAGGATCACATGCACACGGGTAGCATCAAGATGAAGCAGCTGAGGCGAGTGTTCGACCAAATCGGGTTATCTCTGTCTGCCGATGCATTCACAAGCTTGCAAATGTACTTCCCAGGCATCGCCTCATCAGGCGCAGACGAAGAGCAAGACCAGCTCGTAGCCTACGGAAAGCTCATCCTTGCACTTGAGGCGATGCATGAGCAGAACAGTGACAAATGAAAGTAGCCAGCAATTTTGTTCATGAACAAACACGTTGAATATAAACACAAAAACCTTGTAGGCTACGCATCTTCGGAGCCACCTTCCGTACCCTCCAGCTCCTTTTCCATGATCTTGACTCGGTGGAGAACGCGCGCCGCATCCAACCGTCGATTTGAGGCTAGAAGCTGCGAGACCAGCACTCGATCCGCCGAGATGCGGCTGTGCAGTCGCTCGACGTACATTTCCAGCGTCAGTTTGCCAGTCTGCATTTCGATCTCCAGCAGCTGCTTCTTCAGCGTTAGAGAATCATGTCGATCGCTTAATTCGATCGCAGCAGGCCCCGTTAGCGAAGGCAACTTCGCCCCCAACTTCTCAAGCTGCACGAATAAATACAAACACCGTCAAAAACGAGGTAATGCAATCCTCACTGGCCGTAGGGAGTACATACCTCTTCGTTCATCACGTCGTAGCTCACAATCAGATCAACATGATGCGGGTCGTCAAGAGAAGCGGGCGGAGGAGCAACTTGATCCTGCATCGCTGCGCTTTGACCAGAAGTTGGCGCTTTCTCTTTATCGTTTGTGTCGGCTTGGGTTGGCTCCAAAGCTACACTAGGCATAGGCACATGGTTCGAAGACGAAGCTACGGGCTCCACATAGTCTCCAATAACCAGCTCTTCGACGGTCTCAAGGCGAGTCTCCCTTTCTTTTAGTGGACGACGCATTTGAAGCGCGATCTAGCAGCCAGAAACAAACAAATAATATAGGTGTAAGCCATGAACAAGATGCCTGAGGATATGACTGGTAGATACTACTCACCTCGATGTCTCCACCGCACGGTTTTCTATTTGATCCAAGAAACGGGATATGGGTATTAATTTCGCACGAAGTGAGCAGAGGTGTCTAAGGTGAAGCACAACGAGCAGAAATGATGTGAGTACTGTACACATAATTCACCAGCGTTAGCAGCAGCAAAAACGTACCAATTCTTGATACGCTCGCGCTACAAGCTCGGGGTTGCGGAACAGCGTTCCAGGTTTCCAGACTTCAAAAATGGCCTTCTTGATCTCAAACAGACGCATAGTCCCTCTTGATCGTGCCAGTCTGAAGCTAAAGCTCTGCTCACTCGAGGGCACCTCAGTGAGATAGGGGGGCTTTGCATTAATCTCAAACTCGGCGGTTTGGCCTTCGTGGGGTGTTGCGGACGGGAAGTTGAGACAAAACTTGACAAACACAGGTTTGCCCGCCACCTGTCGTAGCTCATTCACGCTCTTCACGGACACCTTGATCTGGTCGTCTGGAACAAATGCCAGTTCAAATTCTACTTGACGAGAAGTCTTGACGATTTCGTAGCTCGGGGCGAGCTGCAGCGGGTTCTGCCGCATTTGTCGAAGCTTGTCCAGTTCTGCTCCATACCGTTTTCGCTACTCACAATGCATCAAGTGGCAACCAGATTAATCTCAATTGCAACAGCCTTCGAAACAATGGAGCAATTCACAAACGTACCTTGCTCAGCCACTCGGATGCTTTTTCGCGACTCACCGACAGATTTTCCTTCGCCAGCGTTGCTGCACGGTTACCAAATTCGACCAGCAGTTGCTCAATCTTCTGGAAATTTGCTGCATTGACCGATTCCTGGGCTGGTACCAAAAGAGCTGCAGGGACCCCAGAAACCTGATGCTTGCGATCGATGAGAGTTTGAATCTGCTTCGCTCGTCTCATAGACTCAAGAGCACCTTGAATGTCACCTTTCCTTTTCAATACCACCGCTGTCTGTCTAGCCTTTTGGAGCTGTGAATTGAGATCAGCAATCCGCTCATCCTTCGCATTTGTATCCTTCGACTGCGCTTCACTTGCTTCTGCATCTGGCGAAGTCGAGGGCATAGAGTGTAGCGATCCACTTGACATAACCGAGGTGAGGTGGTTTGTTTCTTCTTCCGAGTCGGATTCATCATCAAATGCGTCAATCAGGTAGTCTTCATCAATAGATGGGGCAGTTTTCAACGATCTAGAGCTTGGTAGAGTTGCTTTCGGCGGATCAGCGGCCATTGCAGGTGCAATATGCGATAATGTATGAACTTGTATCGGTGCAGACTCAGTCGACGAAATGCCCTCTGCACCAAACTTCAGCAACTCCGCCGCAAACTCTGGGTCATCCATGTCTTCAGCAGTGATTTCCACGCCCGAGAGGCTATCGTTGTCGCTATCAGGGTGGACGTCGTCGACACTTGCGGCACCTGAGTTCAATTGCACCACAGCAGAAGCCCTGACTGTAGAGGGATGATGGATAAACTCTGAGATGTCTGGCGTGATTGGCTTCTGAACGGCAGGCGCCTGCGTAGTTGCAGCTGGTAAAGAGCGCAACTCGTCTCGCTCAGCCTCAAGCTCCTTCATTTTCCGCATGCAGGCGAGTGCATCGGCGATCTGATTCTGCCGCTTCAACTGCAACGCTTGCACTTTGCACTCGTGTATCTGTGTCTCCAAAGCAGCCAACTGCTGCATGACGTCATGATATCGGTCAGCTTCTGTCTCACTTGAACTCTGGGCGATATCCTCCGTTAAACCCATTTTCGCCAATTGGGCAAGAAACTCCGGGTCCTGCATATCCTCCTCCGTCACTTCAACATCGTGCTCTCCATCATCCAGCAACGTCTCCATCGGTGGTCGCACATGCTGCTCCACATTCGCTTGCCTGCTCACCGCCACCACAGTACTAGAAAATGACTGCACATTCCCAGCACTCCCTGGCGCAGAATAGCGCTCCTGGAGCTGTTTGGCCTCTCGGAACTTGGCCAGCGCCTCCTGAATCTTCCCCTCCCTCTTCAACGCCAGCGCCTCCATCTTCAAGGCGTGGACCTCCGCAGCTCTGTCCGGTGATAGCTCCACTTCTGAACCTCTAGGCAGTTGAATTGGCTGTTCCCCGCTCATCTCTGCAGTCTCCCGACTGTGGTTCTCCCTCGCTGTCCTGTGGACTTCGTCCAGCACCCCACGCAGCTCGCTCTTGGCCTCCTGATGTTTGTCACCCTCCTCGTCATCGACGTCATCCAGGTTCAGTCCGTCCAGCTGCAGGTCTCTCAGGATCTTGGCCTCCTCGTCCTCCTCGTCGTCTCCAGCGCCGAATAGCAGTCGCTCCTCCTCCGTCGGACTCGAGCCGCCAGCGACGCCCGTAGCGCCCAGCAGCGCCTGGAATTCCGCCTGCACGTCCGCGTCGCTCACGGGGGTGATGCCGAACTGCTTCTGCAGCTTCACCAGGTCGTCCGTCTCCTCCACCGCCTCCTCCTTCGCGCGACTGCGGCGCCAGAACATCGCTTGATGCTCCTGTGTCAGATTCAGAACTGGTACAGATTTTCCAGCAATACTCGTTTGAGTGACATACTGACATAGTGACATACTCGCAAAATTTAGCTTCAACTTCAACGTTGTCCATTGCATCAGTCTACCGTACCAGCTCAGCTATCCCAAGCACGCGACGCCTTTCGCTGCTTCCAGCCGCCACCGCCGCTAGCTGCAGCACGTTCCGTCCGCTCCAACGCGTCCAACGTGTCATCTAAGCTACGCTTCCTCCGGCCGCTACGCAGCGACTCGACAACTGCCGATGCTTCATCCTCGTCAGAATCTTCCTCATCGGAGCTTACGTCCCCATTGACAGCGACGAACCCGACAGCTGCTAGAGCGCGTTTGCTTCCACCCCGAACGACTACAGACTTGGTTTCTTCAGGGGCATAGGAGCCACTCTGGCCGTAGATCAGGTTGTTGCGGCGCATGTCTCCCGCTCGCATCTTCCTCTCGCTGAACGAATCCCGTGTTTTGATCACCTTGATGGACTGCCGACAGAATCCTTCGGTTCGCTTGTCGATCACCGGCTTCTCCTCGAAGCGGAACGCGTTGAGTCGCGGGTTGCACACGTCACACGTTGCGTTGCACTCCGTCACCGCTATTTTCTGGCCAAAGTACCTCAGCAATGCTTGGCGCCGGCACTCCTTCTTAGTAGCAAACGTCTTGACATGCTCCAGGAGCTTCAAGACGTGTGCAATGGTCTCTGGTTTCTTCGACTTGGACTTCTTTCGCCTATCAGGATTGGCTGCTGTCCCGACCTCACCAGAGTCGATTGATTCTTTTTCCAATAGAAAACGAAACAGGTCGTGGTCACGGGAGGAGTACAACAGCACACTCTGACTCGGCTGTCCATCTCGACCGGCACGGCCGGACTCTTGGTAGAAATTCTCGAGCGTCTTCGGGATGTTCCAGTGCACGACGAAGCGGACGTTGGGGTGGTCGATGCCCATTCCGAACGCTATCGTTGCGCACACAATCCGAATCTCTCCGCTCAACCACTTTTGCAATGTTTCTTCTCGCTCCTGCTGAGGGATCTTGGCATGGAAAGCTGCAACTTTCAGTGCTGGGTCTCGCTTTTGCATTGAGACCACAAGATCGTCCGTGTCGCTGCGCTTGTGCACATACACGACGCCACACGCAGCAGCGTGGTTCTTCTTGATATAGCGACACAGAGCGCCGATGGGGTCAGCCAGTTGCTCCTTGTCGTGCACTGTGTAGGATATATTGGCACGGTTGAAGTCTGCCAGCAGCACGTCAGATCCATCAGGAGCAAAGTGAAGCTGCTTGGTGATGTCCTCCCGCACACGCTCCGTCGCCGTAGCAGTGAGTGCAATCATGGGGACTTTAGGGAACAGCTTCCTGAGCTTCCCCAAGTTTCGGTATGCCGGCCGGAAGTCGTGCCCCCACGAGCTGATGCAGTGAGCCTCGTCCACTGCGAACAGGGCGAGCCCGCCACGTTTCTCCAGTTGCTGTAGTAGCGTCTGCATCTGCTCGCCTTGCAGCGTCTCTGGCGTTGTGTAGAGCATCTCGATACGCTCTGTGGTTGTCTTGGTCTCGAACTGCTCCAGCAGCCGAGCGACGATGCGTTCGCGCTGGCCTTGGGCTACCAGCGACGACAACATCTCCACCCCAATATGTTTCCGGCGCACTGCAGCCACCTGGTCCTGCATCAGCGCCAGCAACGGACTCACGACTACTACGAGGCCGGGCAGCAACAGTGCAGGGAGCTGGTAGCACAGCGACTTGCCCCCGCCCGTGGGCATCAGCACCAAAGTGTCCTTACCGGACAACACCCGGCGCAGCGCAGCACCCTGCAACCCGCGCAGCGTCGAGAAGCCGAAACGCTGCAGTGCAGCGCGGATCTTGGCCCGGCGCGCTTGCTGCCGCCGCGTCTTGGTGTCCATGGCGTCGATGTGTGCGCACGAACAGGTGACCAGCGTGTAATATGTCTGTACCCATGTGCCAAATTGGTCCAGACCAATTTTAACTCGGACTATTAATGGACAGTATCGGATCTTGAAGCGACGCAATAGTGTTGCAGTCACCGGACGATAGATATGGTGCGGAAGGCGTCTCGGCTGGCGCCGGGGCAGCAGTCCGTGGAGGAGGTTCTGCTGAACCGCCTGGCGAACGGGGAGAGTGAGGCAGCAGCGACCCGCTCTTCGTCCGCGCTGCCTCCGGGTGGGGTTCGACGTCGGTCTCAGGGCGGGGCAGCGCCTCGAACGACCGGATCCGACAAGCGTACGATTGTTAGTGTAGCTCAAACTAGCACTGAACGGTAGAATTTGACTTGATGCGATGCATGTTAATAGGTTTGGTGGGTAATACTCGAGCAGCAGCAGCCCCCGTCTCGACTGCACCGGCGGTAGCGAGCGCTGCCCCACCAGGGGGGTCCGCTCCTATGTCGATGGAGTTCATGCACCAAATATCGAGTGAGATTGCTAGCCTCGACCAGCGTTTGCAGCGTGTGGCCACAAATCTGACTGCTGCCCCCGGTCGTGGGACGGGTAAGCGGGTTGCGAAGTCGCCGGACGATGAACGCACTGTCCACCAGCTTGGCATTGAGAAATTCTTGCAGGACAGCATACAGGAGGTTTCTCGAGGACACAGAGCTAGTGGTAGTGCAGATCGAGCGAGTCGCGCGCGGGGGTCAGCGTCGGTGAATCCGAAAACCAGTGCGCAGGTAACTCACAGTGTGCGAGATATTCGCTCTACCGTCCGACGGCTGGACAAAGTATTCCACGAAGTGGCTTCAGGGGATAAGCAGCGCCATCTCGCAGCTACGAAGATATCGATGATGTGTCGAGGGTTCGTGGTACGACGCCGATTTCAGAAGTTACAAGCTGCTCTCGGGGGATGGAGATCTCGCAAGTGCGTCCTCTTTCTAACGTACATGGAGCAGTTCGCGGCGCGAGAAGAGTTTGTCAACAAACAGATCGTGGTGATGCAGGAGGAGCGAACTCGTTCATTCTTACGTCGCGTGCTAGCTGAGATTCGCGACGTGGTGCTCATGAATTTACCGCTGAAAATGTCCCGACTTGAGGAGACCGAGCATCGTTTCCGTGAAAAGCAGTGCAATCTTCTGAAGTACGTATTCTTACCTTGGAAATCAGCAGCTCTTGGGCCGCGTAGTCGCAAGAAAGCATCGGCAGATTCTCGAGCACGCCATTACGCAGCCCGACAGCGTCTCGAGGCCATGGACAGATTCGACGTTATCACGCAGGAAATGGTGCATGAAGAGTTCGTCAAAGACAACATCCGTCGAATTCGTGCCCGCCACCCGATGCACGTGCTGAAGCGCTACTTCCACTTGATGAAGAACGTTGTTTATGTTCCCACGAAGAGGAACATGGAGATCGCTATCGCCTACGACCATCGAGTCACACTTAAACGCGTTGTGGACGAGTGGGTACGCGTCTTCCGAGCGACGCAGATTGACAAGGCTATTGCCAGTGTTGTGGATCGCCGCACTCTCGAGCGATACGATCAGCATTTCAATCTCCGTAAAATTGACGCTCACTACCAACGCACTCACATGCTTAAGCACCTCCGCGCTTGGGCCAAGCATTGTCAGCTTATCCGGCGAGTACGTAGTCTGTTCGAGGGTAGCACGAAGGAGACACTGTTGTGGCTGATGAAACGCTGGCACATACGGGCTCAGTACCAACACGCCTTGAGGGAAAACGCAGTGGAGGAATGGAATGCATATTCGCGCCGAATTTACATGATTCCGTTCCGACGCTGGTACGTATTCATGGCACGCAGGCGTGCAGCTCGAGCTGCCAAAGAGAGCATTTGTGTAGCCTATGAACGTCGCCAGCGACGGAACATCAAGTACAATTTCTTCCGGCTGTGGAAGCACCAGGTTCTCTTCGGCCACATTGAAGGGCTGCACTCGAAGATCCACCTGCTACGCAGCCTAGAAGACCAGAAGCGGATGTGTCTCGGGCTGGAAGCCAATGCAGAACTATATCGAGATAATATTGCCGCGCTGAAGGCTTCAATTGTGCAGCTAGAAGACAAATTGATGGACAAACAGCAGGAGCTTGCACGATTGCACGAGACGACCCAAGCCACGCGTTTTGGGATTCACAAGGCTGAACAGAGTATTGCTCGAGTACAAGGCATGCTGGAAGCCGTGAGAGTCGTTCACCCGGGCACAGTGGAGCGGATCGAGACAATGTACAGGGACAATCCGCTGCTATCGAAAGACCTCAAGGACGTCATCACCTTGCACGCTAACAAGCGGCAGGAGCTATTATCGAAGATTGAGCTGGACAGAACGGAGTTGGAGGTGCAGACTGCGTCCAAGGGAGCTGGGACACAGGAAGATCAGATGCTGCTGCACCGCGTCAAGTGGGTGCTGTCTCGAATAGATCTCGGCATGCACGATCAATCTGCCAACAACCAGCACGATAGTAGGGCGATGCACGGCAATCGGGTGGAGACGATGAATCAGCTGTGCGCTCTGTTCGAGTTCATTCGAAATGGTGACACGGCCCCGTTGGCTCCAGAAAACAACCCGGAACATCGTGAGCAAGGGCAACCCAGCAGAACAGCAAGCTCCACGCTGCACACCAACAACCATAGTGACCGTATCGTACGTCGGACCGATGTCATGGACGGGTCCACTACGTGGCACTCGTTCTTACAGTCGCTCGTGATCAAGTTCGTTCCGGAGAACTTGATGTCTGTGAAGGAGCGTCTCGTACGCCGTGCTGCCGAGATGGATGCCGAGGTCGCTGAGATCAAGGCTAACCCACAGCTACACCACCTGTACAGGTGAGGAGGGTGCTGATACTTTGATTGAGCTCATCATGCAAGGTCTAATGCGATCTGTGTACATGTGCAGGAGCTCTCGGTGACTTCAACTTTAAAGTAAAGGTTAACAACTTCAATTTGCAAGGACTTCAACAACACTAAAAGAACTGCATCTGGATAAAGCACATGAACGGACTTCTCCTTTAAATGAACGAGCGAACGGAAGGGACGCAGTCCTCAAAGTGGGGAAGCACCCGATTCCATCCATCCTTGTTCTATCTAGCCCTGCTGCCATACCACTGCCAAACCACCAACCAAACCAGCTACTCCGACCTCTCGTGGCCTAAAAACCAGTCGCCGTCCTGCTGCCTGCTTGCCTGTCCTGTCTGGCCCTGTTGAGCCTTAGTAGGCGTTTGCCGCGCCGAAAGCCGACGAGATCCACGAGATGAGAGAGAGAGACGCTTGCACTGCACTGCACTACCTGGCCTGCCTGTTTACTCGTTCTGGTGAATCTTAGCAGCAAGGAAGAGCTTCTGGAAGGACTTGCCGGCGTAACGGTTGATGTGCTCGCAGTACGTGTTCATCTGCTTGGTGATGAGGAGCGACTCGAGGCGCGAGGGCTGGTTCACCGACTTGAAGAAGTTGGGGTCCTCCTCGGGCACGGGCTCCTCGCCGTTCTCGCGACGAACCTTGTTCTCCTCCCGCTGTCTATTCTGCCACTGCTGGTAGGCCGCGCGCTGCTTAGATAATGCGCGCTCGTAGCCCTGGAATTTGTAGTGCTCCTGCGCGAGCTCGTCGGCCCACAGCGTCATGTTCTTGAGGCTGCTCTCCAGGTAGGCGTTGGTGGCCAGGTCCAGGCGCTCGAAGCTGCTGGCCGTGGCGCTGTCGCTGGCGTGCGCCGTCTGCTGCAGCCAGCACGTGATGATGTCCGAGTTGCGGATCTCGATGGGGATCTCCTCCACCACCGTGGCCGAGCGGATGTCGGCCTTGGCGAAGCTCTCCTTGGTGAAGGAGCCGCTCTTGTACGTGTCCACGAAGGCCTTGGTGAGGCGCACGGCGCGCAGGCTGAGCGAGCCCTTGGTGGTCTCGGCCGAGTCGTAGATGAGGCAGATGGCGTTCGGGCCCAGCGACTTCTGGTACTGGTACTGGTGCTCGATGAACGAGGCCGTGCAGAACGTGCCCATGGCCACGGACTGGTACCAGCCCACCTTGTTGTTGTCCATGCCCACCTCGCGCAGGCTCTTCATCATGTCCAGCTGGTACTCGTCCGCGCCCTTCTTGCGCTCGCTGCTGGGCGGCGACGGGAAGCTGTTGGTCACCTCCAGCACCTGCTCGTTGTCCATGCCCAGCAGCGAGCCGGCCACGCCGCCCGGGAGGCTCTCGTGGCAGTGCTTGATGATCTGCAGCAGCGCCACGCCCTCCAGCGCCACGCTCGTCACGGGCGTCACGCCCTCGAAGATGTCGATGGCCTCGGCGGACTCCGGGGCGGGTCCCAGTGCCGCCACGGAGGCGGGGGAAGCAGCAGCGGGGGCGGCAGAGGCGGCAGATGCAGCAGCGGCAGCGGGAGCCCGCGCCGGCGCCGGCGTCGTGTCGAGACCCCAAGCCATGGTCGTCGTCGGGGTGCTTCCGGGTGGTTCTCTGGGATGACAATGGATTTCCCCCTGCTCGGACGACTGGCTGGGCCGGCCGAGACGAGGTTTTCGCCAATGAGAAGGCGTAAAATCGGGTTTTCAACGAATCAGATGTGAACTTTAAGAAACGGACGTGTCATTGGACGAAAAGATGGTGATGCAACTGGTTGACTTTTTGGTTGGTGGAGACTTGACCGGCAAGAGGCACAGCTGACGCTGATAGACTGACACACAAGCCAAGCCAAGCCCGTCGCCGCAAGTCGCAGCAGAGCCATGCCCAAGTCCAAGAGACAACGCACCAAGCCGCTCACGCAGGCCAACAAGAAGGGCAACGAGCTCAAGCAGAACGTGGTGGACGCCATCCGCAATGCCGTCGACACGTACGAGTCGGCCTACGTCTTCAGCTTCCAGAACATGCGCACCAACCACTTTAAGGAGGTGCGCATGGACTTCAAGGACAGCCGCTTCTTCCTGGGCAAGAACAAGGTCATGAAGCTCGCGCTCGGCCGCTCCAAGGAGGAGGAGTACGCCGAGAACCTCTTCCGCCTCTCCAAGGACGTCAGCGGCAACACCGGCCTGCTGTTCACCAGCAAGCCGCACGAGGAGGTCGCGGAATACTTCGCTAAGCTCTCGGTCAGGGACTACCCGCGCTCGGGCTTTGTCGCCACCGAGACCGTCACGATCCCAGAGGGTCCGCTGCCGCAGTTCATTGGCAGCATGCTCGAGTCGCTCCGCGGACTGGGCCTGCCTGTGGACCTGAAGAAGGGTGTCGTTGTGCTCAGCCGCAACTACACCATCTGCAAGCCTGGACAGACGCTGACCCCCGAGCAGGCCAAGCTGCTGGTGCACTTCGACCGCAAGATGGCCGAGTTCAAGCTCGTGATGCTGAGTGTGTGGTCCAAGGACAAGTACCAGCGGCTCGCTGCCGAGGACGCCGTTACCACCGGCGACGACAACGACTCCGATGAGGATATGTAAATATGGGATGTAGTCGTGAGCTTAGCCTAGTCGTAGTTCCAACGGGAGTATTGGATTGCAGTGCTTCCCCGGCATCTTCTTTATACACTTTTTTGCATCTAACACTTGTAGCAGCATTTTGAGAAGGCTTCGGCTAATTAATTCTTCAAACGATGGAATGCGGGTAGACTCTGACCTGACTCTGGACGCTCTGCTTGTGATGCAACAGCGATGATTCATCGCTGTTAGCAATAGTCGGGCCTTGCTCGTTTGGCGCCGATTTCACGCGAGCTCAATTACATTCTCCTCACTATCAGGCCCCACACACTGTGCCACCTTGAAAGAGTCATCAAAGGACACATACCAAGCGTGAGGTTGCGCTAGGCCCACACTTCGGTTTGGACGAAAGTCAACCAGCGCATACTTGGAACCTTTTGCCTCCTGGTCACCTTGAATGCGCTCATCCTCGCAACAAAGTAGCTCCCAGTACCAAATAACGCCCGCGGCACAAACCACCACGCTCATGTGCCTTTTTCCGTCAGTCATGCTGCGTTCCGGACTGACAACGGCTTTTCCCTCCGGCACGCACGATACTATCGCTCGATACAGCTCCATTTGGAGTTGTCTCTCCTGAAACACGGGAGCCTCCTTCGACGCCCACTGGAGACGCGAGGAGCGCATTCGTCTCACACATGCTCGTACGAAACCAGTCTGCGTAGTAAGATCCAACACTAACGGCGGAGTCGGCATCGGTTGGCTTGAGTACAGCCAAATCTTCAGGTGCATGTTCGACGCAAACTGGAGCTGCTCGTTCTGGTCCGCATAAAGAAATCCATACTGAACCAGACCCTTCAGCGTCTCGCGGGACTGAGGCAATAGCCCTCTTTCCGACGACGACACCGCCTTGCCAAAGGCGACCTCTTCCAAGATAAAGTATACATCTTCACCCTCCAGCTTCTTCGCGACAATCATGTCGTTTACAGCTTGGACGGTCGGTATTCCTCGACACGTGTGCCAAATGTACTCAAAGAGCTTGGCTGACCGAAGAGCGAGCTCAATTTCGGTCACTGACACGGGTTTTGCTTCAAACTCGTCGTGTAAAAACCTCAGCATGGCGTGAGCAATTCCAACATGACCAGAACTTAAGTCCCAGACGAAGTTGCGCGCCAGTTGCGCGACGCTGCTCGCACTCACCATTTCATCCAGTTCGGCCTGCGAAAGCCTCAGACCTGGTCTTGATGGCGAGCCTTCCAGACCAAAGAGGCAGTGAGGGGGGATACTGATCTGTTCACCCCAGCGACTGCTCATAGGAAAGGTTTCACAATTCCCATACGAGCAGAACATCACGAAGCGGAGGTCTGGCTGCCAGTCCAGCACGTCCTTCACATAGCCAACCCACAGCTGGTAGTCGTCGAAGGTGAGCTCGGCCCCATCGATGAGTATCACCTTCTCGTAGTCATTCTCGCTAAACCGCTCCAGTTGCCGCTTGTACACACGCTCGAAACACTCCACGACTCGTTCCCCCGGCTGCATTTTATCCGCCTGAATGAACGAGACCATCGCATCGGGCTTGGACCGCAGGATGTAGTTTTTGAGGAGGTGCAGCATGGCCGTCTTGCCAGACATGGGTGGCGCACTGATGAACAGCAGCGGCAGGTACTTGCCGTCTTCGGGGAACAGCAGATCGTAAAATTTCTTGACAGTGGCCGATCGGATAGTTCGGAAGTCGGAAGGCACTCCGCTAAGATTTCCGCGAGAATACTCGATCAGGTCGTTCATCTCCCTGGAATCATTGGCTTGGCCTAACGCCACGCTGACTCGTTGTTCCGGCACTTCCACGACCAGCGGCTTGTCTTTGGACTTGCCGTGCTTTTTAATCGGCATATCTCCTCGAGAGGTATCCATCCGGGTTTTCGTACACTGAGAGCTGAGAGGGCGGCACGTGGCTGAGGTAGTTTCTTCCTTCCGGGTGTTTCTCGTCGTACAGAGCGTGGGTCGCTTCGGCGACAACGACGATGATGTCGTCGTCGTCAGGCAAGGTCACCAACTGAAGACTGGTATCTGCGAACACGTCGTGGGTCCTCTCGTCCATTAACTGGACCCACACCTTGTGCCTCTTCGCAGGAGGCTCGGCTTGGCACTCGTCTCGAGGCGTCATAGGCGCGTGTGTGCGCGTGAGGAATGCTTCTTTTCGACAGTCTACTGATAAAAGTAGCTTCAAAAACGGTGTAGCCATTGTGATTCAGCTTCAAGCTGAAGTGGCTTTGAGATACAGTTTGGTAGCTGGACATGTAGCCATTATAGCTATGAGGCATTTGCACTAAACACTGATTGCCCTCCTTTTGCCCTCGACACAGAGATGGAGGGGAACGCGCAGTCACACAAGAGGAAGAAGCGAGTATGGGTCCAGCTGATGGATGAAAGCACCCGCAGGCCGTTTAAGCGGATGAAGACCGAGCTGGTGGCTCTACCTGACGACGACGACGACGAAATCATCGTCGTTGTCGCCGAAGCGACCCATGCTCTGTACGATGAGAAGCAACCACAGGGAAGAAACTACCTCAGTCATGTGCCGCACTCTCAACTATCAGTGAGGCGAGGCCGATGAAACCTTTGTCGACCAGGGGGGTTCGTATAGCGCAGCCCAAGACTGTTCCCCAGGGGTAGACCCAGAGAATCGACTTGAGAGTCAACAGCGAGAAGATAGACCCAGAGATTTGCAGCCGCAAAGCTTTAAACCCTGAGAATCACACTCCTTGGTTGGCGTGGGTACCTTATGTAATCCCTGTCGGCTCGTTTGTCTTCGACGGAACGGCACTCCACCGGTTGTAAATGTAGCCTCGAAGAAGTGCGGGAGCGCACGTCTACTTCAGAACGCACCTCCACACCAAAAGGCAAACCCAGAGAATAAGATCCCCTGAAACCCAGAATATCACGAATTCAGGGTCCAGGATTTCAGTCAACGCTGGGACTTGGAACTCAGAAGACACCTTACCCAAATGCCCTCCTAGCTCGATAAAACCAACAAATACAGAGTATACAAACACTACAACTAGCCGTCACTTATTCTTTTGGACCCTTGGACGGTGGGTCACACACACACTAGGCTCACTCGAGTCTGAAATTCAGGGGCCTAGCTCCCCTGAGACTCACACAAACGCGCACCACCTCCAATAAAGGAGGAAAATACAATCACTATCAGTTACCTTCCCTTTACACAAGCAGTCAATACAAAATCCTGGAGGCGACTACCTAGCACCCCAGAATACCCTCTGGAATAATATGAAATGGGCTACCACGAGCACAGCAAGTGACCCAACTAGGATATGGAATAGATGGATCACCCCAGGAAGCTCAAGGCCGTCGCTGGTCACCACGTAACTGGGCTTGAGTTTGATGGAGCCCACACAAACGGCTGCCCTTCACCGTTGCTGTGCCCTTAGCGTCCCGCGGTCGTAGCCTCGGGTCCTCCGGATTTCCATCGGCAGGCTTTGCCGAAGTCACTTGCGCAGTACAGGGTAAAAGGAACTCTGGTTTTTATCAGCTACTTCTCTCTCTCTCTCTTCTTCGGGCAAATATCTTCTGTTCACTATGCTTGGGGTCAAATGTCTTGTCTTCAGTATACCTTGGGTTCAGCGGTCCAAACTTGCGATCGGCTTGCGAATCTATTGTCGCACGGCGTTGAAAGTGCCAATTGTGAGTCCTTAGACTTGGTTTAGTATGATGCAGGACTCCCTCTCGACTCCTTGAAAGTATCCAGTCTGCGCATCCACAAGGGTTCTTCAAGGTCACGCATCACTTTGATTGCAGACTGGCTTCGAACTGACTCGAGTCCCTGAAAACCGGGTGACACTCAGGGTCATCTTCTGAAATCCTGGGAATTCTGAGGAATCTTGGGGAACTGTGGGGATTTTTGGGTGTTGACTCGGGAAACACTTAAGTTCAGTATAGAGAGTCTGGATTTATGGTCCAAACCCAGAGAATCATCTTTGGAACTCTGGGTCACCTGCACTCAGGGAGGTGAACTCTGGGTCATCGTGCGGCACTCTGGGTTTCCGTGCGGCACTCTGGGTAACAAGTCTGCTGCATTGCAGGCTCGTGTGTATCCCCACAAAGCCACACTTTTAGTGGGTTTAGCGGCCTCCTGCGCATGATCATGGTAGTAGTGGGTTGATTCTCAGGGTAATTTGATCCTCTGGGGCACTCTGAGCCACAGCAAGATGAGGCGTACTCTGGGATACTTTCTCCAGAGACACTTTCCGCCAGACTTTAGGCACTCATCGTAAGGGAAAGTCCGCGGCTGGACTGAGTGTTCTCTGAAATCCTGGGTGTGCACTCCCAGGATTCACACTTCCAGCCAGTTGGGCCCATCTGCGGTCAGGCGCTGGACTCATCCCGAGAAATCACTTCTCTCCCACAGTCGCCATCCATGTCACACGGGTACAGCCGCGCCGTATCCAAGTCATCCACCAATCAGCATCCGATACAAACGCCAAGTCACAGAGGTGACGGCACATCGTCGGCAGTTTTCTGGGGACCGCCTCGTGTCAACCGCCCCTCCTGGTCCGGGTCCATCAAAGAGGAAATCGCTCCGAACTGGTGAAATATGGCCAGGCCACAAAAACACACAGGTCCATCCACCGTCGACTTCGATACGGCCGTTGCAGTCTGTCGACTCCCAGGGTTTCACTCACTTTGGCGGCACCCTGTCTCCCCAACGGTTGGTCAGGACCTATCTTCAAGGTTCTCCTCTCAAACGCAAAAACTCCCACGGGCAATGCGCGGTCACATCGCCATTTCACAGATCGTCAACATGGCGGAGAGCGCGCCTTCGGACGGCAAGCAAGAGACGGCGCCAGCTCAAGTCACGGCGCCCCCCGGCAGCGCGCCACCTCCGACGCAGCAGCGCACCGGCGACGCCCCTGCGAGCACCGCACCAGCAGGCGGCGGCAGCGGCCAGACGGGTAACTCAGCGTCCAGCGACACTTCGACGGGCAGCGCCAAGACGGGCGCGACCAAGCGCGTCTCCATCTCCAGCGCCACCGGCAAGACCTCCGACGCGGACATGCGCGAGGCCGATGGCAACTCCTCGGCTGACGCTGCAACCCAGGAAACTGGTGACGCGAACTCAGAATCCAAGGCTCCAAACGCAGGCGGCGCGGCTTCGGACGTGAACATGGAGGGCTCCCCTGAATTCAAGACGCCACGCCACGCGACGCTAGAGGACGTCAGGGGGATCATCTTCGCAGGCATGCTTCGGCAGGAGGAGGTCGATGTCCCCGACTTCGTACTCCCTGAGCGCCCACCGCATTGGAAACTGCCAACCCCGCCGGATCTCAAGACCAACGCGTATCTCGTTGGAGTCCCAGGGATCGTGAACGACATTCGCGCGAGTGCATTCGCCATGGAAGGCTACGGCGGCGCGTCTACGCTGATCGCCTTCGAGGAGCTCTCCGACGACGATCTTCAGGGGTTGAAGGAAGTCTGTGGCGCCAACGCTGGGATCGACGTCCTGTGTCCACGTCGTTCGCCTCTTTCCGCATTCGAGTTCGACAGCACCCTGAATTCCATCGGTATTCGACGCGAGATGGCCTCACTCCTGCGTCACTTCAACAGAACCAGGCTCGCTGAGTGCGTGTTCAAGATGATCGGTTACCTGCGTCGAGTACCGAAACATGCGTTCTCTGGCTGACTCTCAGCAGGGTTTCACCGCCACACAGGAAGTAGTCGACACGCGACGCAAGTACAAGGAACTGAAGCGCGCCTGGAAATTCACGTGCGACCACTGGTTCCTGGAGGTCCAAGAGGCCCTGGGCAAGGTGGATGATGCTGAGTCCAAGTACAAAGTCGCGCTGGACGAGTAGAAGACGCGGTACCAAGACGAGATTGATTCTCTGGAGTCCGAGAAGACGCAACGCAAGGCGCGCCTTGCCGACTCTGAGGCACAAGTGCGAATCCTGAAATCGCGTCTTGAGTCTGCCACCGTGGACCCCTGGAAGTTCTCCGACTTCCTGCAAGAGCACAATATGGGTAATTGGGAGCGCCTCCACGACCTCTTCAAGCTCTGCATCAAGGACTCGAAGCCTCCTGAATCCTGGGACACTGTCGTCAACGTCACGGTCATGGACAAGCGCAAGGCTGCGGTGGCCCCGTACCCAGAGAAAAGCACACATACGCCTCCATCTTCGGGGTCTGGATCGTCCGGTCGTCCTGAAATTCTGGATCTCACGGGCCTGGCAGCAAGCCTCGCAGCGGTTCGAAGACCGGGGGCAAAACTCAGGATTCCAAGAAATCTCAGGGTTCCAAGAAAGGTCAAGACTCCAGAAAATCGCGGGATTCCAAGGCGCCGGGCGAGTCGCCACAGCAGTCAGCGCACCTAAGCCTCACAAAGTTCAGCGTCGCCCCAAGGATCACCAACCAGGCCGCGACTCTGTACGTCGCGCCGGTGAGAAGACGGTGGTTTCCAAGGAAGCTGCCCATTCGATGCTCCCTGGGGGCGGGGGCGTTGTCTGGAAAGAGGTTCGTCCGGACGTGCGCCAAGCTATCCTCGCGGGGCTCAGATACGATTCTGCCATGGAGTGGATTGGCAGCGACCGCGCAGCTCACGGGCACTTCCGACAGCCGCAGCTGATCAAGATGCTCGTGGGCATGATGTACTGGCGTCGCCTTGACAAGACCCCCTGGAGTAAGTACGTCCCTGAGGCTTATTACGAAATGGCGGATGAACGCCTGGACAGGTGCCTTCGACGCGGAGATGTGCCACCACCCTGGGGGAACCTCGATGAACACATGGTGTACCCTGATGAGGACGCCGATTCCGCGGTGGACGACATCGAGAACGACCCGGACTACCAGCCTCCCGCCCAGGAACCTGACGAGAGCGCCTCTAGCGGGAGCTCTGAAGAGGAGGAGGTCGCCCCTGAAACTCTGGAGGACATCGATGATGCAGAGGACGACGACGACGCAGAGGACGATGACGACGCAGAGGACAACGACGACGCAGAGGACGACAATGAGGTAGAAGAACCCCTGGAAGTCAAGCCTCCTGCTAAGCGCCCCCGTTCTGAATCAAGCAAGAAACCTCAGGGTTCCAACTCGAAGTCGAAGAAAAAGCGTCGCACAGGAAACAAGAAAGACACTTCTGCCACTAAGGGTTCT